AAATCACCCTCCAGTGTGGGGAATGGCCCCATCACAATCCCTTCTATTCCATTCTCCTGCTGGGATTTTGGGCATGCACTCACGTACACTTGGCATGTTTTTAAGCTGCTAGGTCTAGGACTCAAACTGTGTATAGTTGGCTATGTGGGAGTACAGTGCCTTAACCACAATGCCACCTGTTGGTCCCAGTAGACACTTCTTGATGAGTGAATGGTAGGAGGATAATGTTGGGATAGGCAAGTAGTAGTGAATTTTTTAAAATTCTTAATCCCCTGAACAACGTTTTAAAACTGATATTAAGTACATGGATTGTTTCTTTGCATCACAATTTGAAGATCCCAGCCATCTTTTTGAAATCACAAGGTCCTATAAAGCTTTGGTTGGAGGCTGTCAAGGCCTCACAGGAGTATACAGGACAAGCACTTACATCTTCAGAGCAGTAACCACCCTTGGCATATATAGTCAGATGTTGCTTATTCTGATTTCTGAGGTTCTATAGTATCTTGCATTTTATTAACCTCCTGTAATTAAGACTTCAATCTTCACAATCTGTGACCTATTTTGAGAGAGTGTGATGTTAGACAATGATGCTGCCATTTGAGTTTTTGCAATAGAAGCACTTCATGTTCATTCATGACTATATTTTTTTTGCCTCATTGTTTCTCATCAGCTGGATTTCTGAATGCATCTAGGGACACTGCTTCCATCTAGCAAGGAATCTAATTAGTTGCCTCTATTTTGGAGCAATTCTGTTACCTATTAGAGTTACCTCCCATTGAGAGCTCGATTTCATCAGGTTTTTTTTTTTTTTTTTTTTTTTTTTTTTTTAACTCACAAAGCAAAGTAGTAAGAAAAGCTTCATGATCTAATCAACAGTTCTTGATATGTACTTAAAGGAAATGAGTATGTTTGTGTGCCATCCTTGTACTGGGGCCATGTTAATTTTCTGTGTATCATTCTAATTTTGGTATCCAGGGAACTGAAGCAAGCACTAGAATTAGCAAGTTTGATTTTAAGGTATTGTAGGACTCTACTGTCTCTTCTTGAGGCCATCTGTTTCTATCTACTAAAGGGATTGGAATACAGAAATTTGGTGTTATGGCTTAAGTTTATTTCTGTGATCCTGTATAAACAGAATCTTTTCTCAGATTTAACACTAGAGTAGGTCTTTGTGTTAGGAGGAGTGCTCCTTGGCTTCTTCTAGAAGACTTTCTGAGCACCACATAAAAATGCTCTTTGGATTGTTTTTCAATCATAGACCACAGTTGACAGCTATAGTAGGGCTTCTTTTGATGAATGAAGAGGTGATAGTAGGATGCTTTTATTATAGAATCAAACTAAAGACAACAAGGGCAGATAAGGACAGATATGGCCATCTACCTTCTAGGCAAAATTGTAAACAAAATATTGTGGTTGTGTGCTCATCTTCTTTCTTTTTACTCCCCTCTCTTTTAATACCTTCCTTCTACTTGGAGAGGAAAGTTCCTTTTTGTGTGGGTGAATGGAAGTGACACCAGCTATTTACATTCTAGCAAGTAAATTTTATCTTTCCCATGCTACAGAAATATTTGCTTATTAAATTTTATTTAACTGTGAACAAAGGGCTTATTCCATATTAAAGGAATTTCAGATATCTGGAGACTCCTACATAATAGGATGAGTTTTGTGAGTACCAATAGGCTGGGAATGAGTGAACTCTTTTGCCTTATTATGTAGAAAACACCAAATTCAAGCTACAAAGATACAGCATGAGGGCAAAATCTGATCTGGGATAATAATTTGTCAGGCACAGATCCAATGTGACCATCCTCCCTCCCCCTTTATTTTAAAGGTATAATGGACCCTTATTTGGTTCTACAGCAGCTGCGCTGTAATGGTGTCTTGGAAGGGATTAAGATATGCTGTGAAGGTTTTCCAAACCGACTGCTATATGCTGATTTTAAACAAAGGTAAACATATACTTCAGTGTCTAAAAAGCCTGAGGCAGTTCATTCTGTTTTCCTCTTTTTTGGAGGGTTTAAGCATGCATAGTTTGCTTGGTTGATGTCCTCCAGACTACAAATCGATGTGTTGTGGTGGTGGTAAGATATATGATGACAGAGTTCCATTATTATTTCCCTTTAAATCCAACATCTATGTAGCTATAATATCCTTAAATCTCTATTAACGGATAATAGACCCACATATAGGAGAAATATATACAGAAGAAAGATATGGAGGCTGAATTGAATCTCAGAAATGTTGTATATACTTAATCGTAGCTGCCACCCAAGCAGGCTGTCGCTTTACTAGCAAACCCATGAAAGGAAGGAAGCCAGCAGGGCATGCAGCAGGAGGCAGGAGAGGCATCTCTGCTTTCTATTTCCTGAATTCTAAAAGTGCAAATTATAGAGGATCATGTGAATTGAACAAAGTAGGGTAGAGTAGAGAGAGTACCTGTCTCAGAATTAAAAGGAATATTTCTCATTCTCCACCTACTCATTATTAGGGTGAAGGAATCTAGGAAAAGACATTTAATGTCTCTGCTTTCAGCTTCTTTATCCAAACAATAGAAATATTTACGCTTGCCTCCCTCCATTCCTTTCTCCTTCCAATCCTTCCCTAATTGAGCAGACAATCAAAAGAGGTTGCCTCTAAAGCACCAAGAAAAGTACAAACTATTATCCTAATGTGAACGATTGCTGCTTGTATCATTATTGTTATAAGAGTTTTGTGAAAATCGAACATATTGGTAGGAGAAATAAATGTATCTCCTTTTACCTCATTTGTCAGATTAATCTTTTGTTCTTTATTTGTCAGAGAGCATGTGCATTCACTAGGGAGAGACAGAGAGAGAAGGAGAGAGCATCCCCAGTGCATCAAGGTCATGCTGCAACCCCTTTACCTCTATTTTTCCATCCTGCTAGAATTTTGAGTATGCACATACACATGCCTGGTGTGTTTTTCTGGCCATAGGGTGTGGGATTCATATCATGCAGTTGGCAATGTGGAATCCAGCTCTTTTAACTCCTAGGCCATTGGGCTGGCCCTAGATTAACCTTTATTTTAACCATATGACTCCCCCCTAACCCCATCTTAAATTAGGTACTGCATTCTGAACTCAAAGACCTTTCCAAAGAGCAAGTTTGTGAGCAGCAGAAAAGCAACCGAAGAAGTACTTGGCTCCTTGGAGATAGACCATACCCAATACCAATTTGGAATCACTAAGGTAACCAGAAAACTGCAGAGAATGCAGTCGGAGAAGAGTGGGCAGAGTATGTGTTTTAAAATACCTATAAACAGTTCATTATAAGGTATTCTTCAGCTCTTGTAACCACAAACACACAGATAGAGCTTAGTTGAAAGTGGAAACTTCAGTGCTATTGGACAAAGAAAATCCAATGCTGCTTAAACCTTACTGCATTTACATTTTTATAATTAATCATCTAAGCAAATTCATGTGAAGATATAAAATACTGAATCATCTTCACATTGCTATGCTTGAAAATGTGTGTACATGGAAGAGCTAGAAAAAGGTGAATCAACTTCCTGGAGTTAACTGCTTAGTGTGAATAAACCGATTCATTCAAGGACTCTTTTAAGGAGTGAATTCTAGAAGACTCTCTGAATAATTTACAACTTCAAACTCAATTTCTCTGTCTAAAAAATTAATTCAAAGCTCAAAAGTGATTCTTTAAATTCCACTTCATCCTAAATGACCTTGATATGACCTATATATTTTTGGAAACTTGACTAAAGATTTGATATTACCTGCCAATAAACATCTGGTTTTTCTCAATGACATCCATTAAGGACCAAATTATTTGAAGGAGAGTTGGAGGATCCATGGTGAAGAACTCATAAGAAAAGAACTCTGTAGGACATAGTTATGTTGATTAATTCCCTTAATTTCAGGCTAAGAGAGTCAGTTTTTGCTTTTTTGTTGTTTTCACTGATATTCACTAGCTGTGCCTTGCTTCTTTGTGTGTTTGGTTGTTTTGGTTGTATATTAGTTATGTGGAGCAGGAAGGGCATGAGGTGAGTTACAAATTTTAATAAGGCATTCATTTGCAGGGTTGTGCAAATGAGGCTGAGAGGCACTCACATTTAGAGATTTACAAATTTTAAAGAGGTGCTCACTCCCTGGTTGTTTAAAGTGCCTTTAAAGAGACTTTCTATGTGAGTGTCTTCATAAATTTTATGTCTAAGCTCCTCACTCAACTTATCTTTGTTGTTACTAATTATTGAAAAAAATATGTGACTTCTTTGGTATATAGGACAAAAATGCCTATAAAGCAGGCATAAGCAAACTATATCCATTAGCCTCTTCCCCTTTCTTTCTTCTTCTTTTCTTTATTGCCCTCTGGGTAAAATTGGGTTTACATTTTTAATAAATTGCTTTTAAAAATGAATATAAAGGAACATATCCATTAAAACTTCATATTCAAAAAGTTCATGGAAAATGGAATTAAAAGTACTAGTGGGCCAAGTGGTGGCATAGTGATTAAGGTTCTGGAATCCCACATGGCTGATTTTGTAGTGCAAGTTCTGGACTCGGTGGCTTAAAAATCATGCTAGGCATGTGTGTGTGCATGCCCAAAATCCCAGAAGGAGAACGGAGGAAAAGGATTTGCAGTGTGGCCATCTACCCCAGGGTTGGGGGGGATTTCTCACTTTCGCTCTCACCATCTCTCTCTATCTCTCTGCTCTCTGGTAAGTGCATATGCCCTATAGCAAAACAAAACAAAACAAAACAAAGACAAAAACCTTAATAAAAATGTACAGGTTTATTTTGGTACGTTTTTGAAATCTATGTATAGTTTCATAACATGCATTTTTCCTATAAATTTTTGGAAGAGTCCTAATATTCTTATAGAGATTCTATATGATCTATGAAACCTAGAACTATTTACTACCTGGCCCTTTATAAAGTGTATGGACCCCCACCTGGCACTTTGGAGCACTGCATGCTTAGTCCCATCTTCAAACTTAAACTAGTTTCCTGAACAACCTAGACATTATTAATAGATATGGGGGAGAATTATGTTAGTTCTTAAACAACTAATGTAGCCATAGGATTTTAAAAATATAAAATATGTTGTGAAATACTAGATTTATAAAACCAAACTTTCTAGGTATAGATTTTACATATTAAATAAAACTTCACAGGAAATAGAACTGATAAAATTGTTCTGAGGCATGTATCAATTGCTCACAGTATCACTCAACAGCAGTAAACCTCCTGAATACTCATAAGTGAAATTAACCTCTGACTTTTTACTTTTAGGTGTTTTTTAAAGCTGGTTTTCTGGACCACCTGGAAGTAATGAGAGATGAGAGACTATCTAAAGTCTTCACATTGTTGCAAGCCACAGCACGGGGCAAACTTATGCGAATAAAATTCCAGAAAATTCTGGAGGAAAGGTATTGTTTTCCTACTTGCTAGAATAATAGTGTGCTTCAACCAGTGTGACTTTATTTCCTCTCTTTATAACAGACCAAGGTGATAAACTGCCTTTGCTTAGCCTGAGTCATAATTTTTTTGTTTCAAATTATGGTATATTAAAAAGCAAAAGGCTTTTTTTTTTTTTCTCTATCCCATCAAGTGTAAGCATAATTCAGATATTTCTTGCCCTGTTCTAGGCTTCTCTTTGGGGTGGATTCCTTACGGTCTGAAAAGTCTGGATATTTGAAGGTGGTGGGACTCTCAGTTTATAACTAAAGCAGATCTTGCATATACCCAAGAGCCAACTCTGTGGGCAAGTTTGCTTCAAAATGAGGAGGTGCTTTGACCACTTTATTGCCTCTCCTGGGTCAGCAGCTGCGGCTCTTGGTGACATGTAATCATAACTCTCTTACTTTATTTCAGGCAGATTCCTAGGACTATATATCACCACACTTGGACACTCAGATGTAGGCTTTATCTATTCTTTGATAGAATCATGGACAGAATGCTAGCAAAATCTTCAAAAAGACCGTGAGCAAGAGATTCTGCAGTTACATTTACTTTTTCCTTAGAATAGTTCATCTTCTGAAGAGAGTTCGCAGGTCTTAGTATCATTGCTTACTTGACAATTCATTAATTCCATCTGCTTCCCCCAAAAAGAAGAAAAAAATCACTACATAGTATTGTCAAAGATATAGAAAGACAATTCCTAAGGGTCTTCTATGACCCGTATATAGTGGGTCAGTGTGATACGGGAGTTTAAGGCTCAGAAAACACGGCTTCTAGAACCAGTTGTGTAAACTTGGGTAAGACTGAATTTCTCCATGGTTAACTTGTTTTATCTGTAAAATGAGGCCTTTATGACCCATACTTTATAAATTATGACTTCAAATACTATTATGAAATATTTCAAACACATGAACACATACAGAAAGTATTATTATGCATACTCATAGAGCTATCATCAGAGATATCAATTCTTTTTTTTAGAATTATATTATTTAACTTTATTTATTTTAATTTGACCAGAGAAGGACAGAATGAGAGAGAGAGAAAAAGAGAAAGAGAGATAGAAAAAGAGAGAGAAAGTGAGAAAACAAGTTGCCAGGTCTAGGACTTGAATCATCGTCAGTCATGGAAGAAACCAGCACCCCTAACCACCACACCACCTGCTGGCCCCAGCATATCAGTTCTTAACTTTTCTTTTCTGTAATTGCTGACAACTTTTAATAAAAACTAACACATACAATTGAAGTTCCTGTGTATCTCTCTCAATCCAAATCCTCTCTCTCCCTCCCCAGATCCTGAATTTGTATTTATCATTCTATGTTTCATATGTAAATTGTTAAAGGAAAATTTCATACTTTTATTAGATGTGCAGGTATCTTTAAGAGGTGACATGATTTTGCATGCTTTTATTCTTCATGTAAGTAATATTCTGTGTGTATTATCCTAAAGTTTATCCTTTTACTCATTTTATTAGTGTTGATCAATTAGGGCTAGATTATTGATTTTTTTTTTTGAGAGGTTTTTGCTATAGGTTGCGTGTGCTTGCCAGAAAGACAGAGAGGGACAGAGAGACAGAAAGCGAGAAATCACCCCTCAGGGGTGATGGCCATGCCGCAATCCCCTCTCCTCCACTCTTCTCTCAGGATCTTGGGCATGCATGCACACACGTGTGGCATGAGTTTAAGCCACCAGGTCCCAGACTCAAACTGCAGTCAACTACATGGGAGTCCAGCGACATAGCCATTACACCAATTGCTGGTCCCAGAGTATTGATTTTGATTCTTGTATAGTATACTATTATGTGAATAGATACCACAATTTATCCTTTTTCCTGCTCAAGTAAATTTATTTCCAATTTTTTGCTATTACAAATAGTTCTGCAGTAACATTTTTGTAAATGTCTCCCCTGCATATATGTAAGAGTTTCTTGAGGGCAGCATTACTTGAAATGATCCATTCCCTGATAACAGTTTGTGGACAGCAGCTGGTCCCTCGCATACTTTGAGTGACACTTCTCTAGGGCATGAATTAGCAGGTTTTAGATTAAGAACAACTTCAGTTTTGAGAGATATTGCCAAAATGCTTTCCAATTTACTCTCCAGCAACAGTGTATGACAGTCCCTTTACCCCATGTTCTCATTAACTTGTGGTATTTCAGACTTCAAAAACTTTTGCCAGATTTTGTCTGATTTTGATGTAGCTATCATTTTCCTTTAAAGAATAATGGTCACTACAGATTTTTCTTTGTAGATATGATTTACATATTGATATATGTTTATATGTTAATATATATATGTTAGATATATTATATATTCATTCCATGTTATTTTATTAAGCATTTTTTATCAGGAAAATCATTAAATTCTTTATCTGCATCTATTAAATCACATGTTTTTTCCTAAACTAATCTAAACATGTATTAAATTACATTAATAGATTTTTTTTTAATGTTGAGTCCACTTTGGTCAAGAAATGTTATCTGTTCATACCTTGTTGAATTTTGTTGTGATATTATCATGAGTTTTTTTACATCAATATCTATGAACAAGACTGACCTGTAATTTTCTTTTCATCAGTTGTTATCTGATTTGGGATAAAAGTTATCCTAATGTCATAAAAAAGTTGGAAAATGTTTTCTCATTCAAAGACATCAAACAAATTATTGCATATATCTGGTCTTCTGATTTTGGTAGAATTTGCCTATATACCTGGATCTGGTATTTCTTTTGTGACAGATTTTATAGTTTCGATTACATTTATTTATTGGTTATTGGCCTATTGAAATATTTTTCTTTGTGAATTAGTTTAAGCATTTTTTCATAAAAAAGAAATTTTATATTTCTGTCAAATTTTCTAATTTAATAGATTGTAATTTTTAAAATCTCTATGGTATTTGTAAGTATGCTCATAAAGCATAATCCTAAATTATTATATTTCTAGAGGATTATTATTACTACTATGATTTGCTTGTGCCTTCTCTCCTTTCTCTTAATCTGTCATGCAACATTTTTATTTATGTAATCTATATGATAAACCACATTTTTTCATTTTCTTAGTTTTTTGGTTTCTAGTTTATTAATTTCTGATCTCATGTTAATTCTTTTCTTACTTCCACTTGCTGTGGGTTTATTATTTTTTTCTCAGCTTAATTGAGGCAAAATTGACAAATAAAAACTGTACATATTTGAAGCATACAATCTCACAATACATATGTGTATGTGTGTGTGTATATATATACACACACACATACACACAATGCCTTAAGTATAGCTTATACATTTGTGCATGTTTATATTTGTGCATAAATGTTGTGAATGATTACCATATTCTATCTAATTAAAATACCCATTGCCTCACGTAGTTTTTGTGGACTGTGTGATGAGAAGATCTACTCTCTTAACAAATTTCTAGCATACAGCATGGTATTACTGACTCTGATCACTATGATGTATATTAGATCTCCAGAACTTATTCATCTCACCTAATTGAAATTTCGTACCCTCTGACAAACATCTTCCCATTTTTCCCTGTCCCTAGCAACTGCCATTCTATCTGCTTCTGTGACCTTCTCCCTCCCCCCTATTTATTTATTTATTTACTTTAGGTTTTTACCATAGGGCATGTGTGCTTACTGAAACAACACAGAGAGAGACAGAGAGAGGGAGAGTGAGAATTTACAACCCCCTGGGGGCTGGGCTGAGGGATGGCCACACTGCAATCGTTTAGTCTCCATTCAGGATTTTGAGCATACACACACACACCTGGTGTGATTTTCAAGCCACGGGGTCTAGGACTTGTACCCTGATTGGCCATGTGAGAGTCCAGAGCCTTAATCACCATACTACCTGCTGGCTCCTTCTCTGACTTTTTAAATAGCCCACATGTAAGTGAGATCATGAAGTATTTATCTTTCTGTGCCTGGCTTATTTAACTTAGGATAATGTTCCCTAAGTTCATCCATGTCCACAAATGACAATATATTCTTTTTCTTTTCTGAACTTCCTCCTCTTCTTCAGAGTCTCACAATGTTTCTGCCTTCCTGCCTCAACCTTCTAACTGGAACTACAAGTGTGTGCTACCATGCCTAGATTTCCTCCTTTAAAAAAATAAATAAATAAAAATATCACAGGTGTGGTTTCCATGATGTTTCCATAAAACACCTTATAAACATCTATTTTAAGTTGATAATAACTTAACTTTAATCACATATAAAAACTCATCGTTTCAACTTCTCGTTCTTCTCATATTTTATATTATTTGTCAGAATTTGTATCTTTTATGTTCTCTCTATTAATCATTGTATCTACAGTTATTTTTAATACTTTGTAGTTTAGCTTTTATACTAAAGTTTAAAATAATTTATGCACTATCATTACAGTGTTAGAGAATTCTAAATTCAACTTTATTCTTATCCTTACAGTGATGTGTATGTGTGTGTGTATATATATACACACACACATACACACAATGCCTTAAGTATAGCTTATACATTTGTGCATGTTTATATTTGTGCATAAATGTTGTGAATGATTACCATATTCTATCTAATTAAAATACCCATTGCCTCACGTAGTTTTTGTGGACTGTGTGATGAGAAGATCTACTCTCTTAACAAATTTCTAGCATACAGCATGGTATTACTGACTCTGATCACTATGATGTATATTAGATCTCCAGAACTTATTCATCTCACCTAATTGAAATTTCGTACCCTCTGACAAACATCTTCCCATTTTTCCCTGTCCCTAGCAACTGCCATTCTATCTGCTTCTGTGACCTTCTCCCTCCCCCCTATTTATTTATTTATTTACTTTAGGTTTTTACCATAGGGCATGTGTGCTTACTGAAACAACACAGAGAGAGACAGAGAGAGGGAGAGTGAGAATTTACAACCCCCTGGGGGCTGGGCTGAGGGATGGCCACACTGCAATCGTTTAGTCTCCATTCAGGATTTTGAGCATACACACACACACCTGGTGTGATTTTCAAGCCACGGGGTCTAGGACTTGTACCCTGATTGGCCATGTGAGAGTCCAGAGCCTTAATCACCATACTACCTGCTGGCTCCTTCTCTGACTTTTTAAATAGCCCACATGTAAGTGAGATCATGAAGTATTTATCTTTCTGTGCCTGGCTTATTTAACTTAGGATAATGTTCCCTAAGTTCATCCATGTCCACAAATGACAATATATTCTTTTTCTTTTCTGAACTTCCTCCTCTTCTTCAGAGTCTCACAATGTTTCTGCCTTCCTGCCTCAACCTTCTAACTGGAACTACAAGTGTGTGCTACCATGCCTAGATTTCCTCCTTTAAAAAAATAAATAAATAAAAATATCACAGGTGTGGTTTCCATGATGTTTCCATAAAACACCTTATAAACATCTATTTTAAGTTGATAATAACTTAACTTTAATCACATATAAAAACTCATCGTTTCAACTTCTCGTTCTTCTCATATTTTATATTATTTGTCAGAATTTGTATCTTTTATGTTCTCTCTATTAATCATTGTATCTACAGTTATTTTTAATACTTTGTAGTTTAGCTTTTATACTAAAGTTTAAAATAATTTATGCACTATCATTACAGTGTTAGAGAATTCTAAATTCAACTTTATTCTTATCCTTACAGTGAGTTTTGTACTTCTATATATTTTCGTGTGGTTAATTAAAGTCCTTTTGGTTCAATTTGAAATATTCCCTTCAGCATTTCTTGTAAGGCAAGTGGTGGTGAAAAATTCCCACAACTTTTGTTTGTCTGGGAATGTCTTTTTCTCTCCCTCATTTCCAAGGGACAGCTTTTCTGGATAAAATATTCCTGTTTGGCAGGTGTTTCTTGTTTTATTTTCCACTTTGAAAATATCATACCATTCTCTTCTGACCTGAGAATGATCAGCAAATTTTTCAGGCTTTTGCTGAGGTTCTAGAAGGTTCCCTTATATGTGACAAATTGCTTTTGTCTTGCACTGCTCAAAATTTTCTCTTTTGTCTTTGAACTTTGAGAATTTCATTATAATGCATCTCAATGAAGACCACTATATTTAACCTTATTTGGAATTCTTTGACTTCATGAATCCAGATGTTCAGTTCTCTCTAAATTTTGGGAAATTTTTTCTTTTTCTTTTTCTTTTTTAAAAAATTTGTTATTTGTTGCATGCACTCACAGGGGGTGGGTGGGAGATAGAGAGAGGGACAGAGAGAGAGAAAGAGAGAGGGAGAGAGGGAGAGAGAGAGAGAGAGAGAGAGAGAGAATGCACTCCCCAGGGAGAATGGTTATACTGCAATCCCTTCTTCTCTATTCTCCTCTTGAGATTTTTGACATGCATGCACATATGCTTGGCATATTTCCCAAGCCGCTGGCTCTGGGACTTGAACCACTCATTTGGTAGTATGAAATGCAGCCACCTCAACCACCACACCACACCATTAGCGGACGGTTCATTATTTCTTTACATAATATTTTTTCTCCTTTCTCTTTTCCTGCTCCTATCTTATTGGTGTATAGGTGCTCTTTATGTCATCCTATAAATCCCATAAGTATTCTTTTTTTCATTTATTTTTGTTTTTAACTAGGTAATTTCAAATGACTTGTCTTTGAGCTTACTAATTCTTTCTTCTGCTAGATTTAGTGTACTGTTCAAACTTTATATTAAAATTTTAAGTTGCCATTGTGTTCTTCAGTTCCAGAATTTTTTATGGTTTTTCTTTGTTGAATTTCTTATTTTATCTATGTATTGTTTTCCTGACTTTATAAATTTCTCTTATAGCTCATTTAGTTTTGTTTGCTCATTTGTTTTGCTTTATGTTTTTCTTTTTTTTTTTTTTTTTAAGTTTCCACAGATCATGTGTACTTGCCAGAGAGGAGAGAGACAGAGAGAGGCAAAGTGAGAAATCACTCCCACTGGGGGGTTAGGGGGGTAGTGGCCACACTGCAATCTCTTCTCTGTTCTCCCAGGATTTAAGGCATGTATACACACATGACTAGCATGATGTTTAAGGTGCCAGGTTTGGGACTCAAACACCGGTCAGCCACGTGGGAGTCCAGTGCCTTAACCACCATGCCACCTGCTGATCCCACTCATTTAGTTTTTAAAAGATGATAACTTCGAATTCTTCTTCAGGCAATTCATAGATACTCAGATCTTTAGAATGAGTTACTAGAGATTTATTATCATTTTTAAAAACTATGTTCTTTGTTCCTAATTCTTAATGTTCTTTGTAGTTTTGCAATGATGTTTGCACATTTGAGGAAACGGCTCCCTCCCTTGTCTTCATGAACTGGCTTTTTCTTGGAAAGATCTTCCATCGGATATTTTGGCTAGAGATTCTAGGTCTTCGTTCCTAACTGCACCAAGTATTTGGTTGTTTTTTGCTATGTTCCAGGACCTTACAATCTATTTTTCCCTCTGTTGTCTTATTTTGTTACCTCATGTGTCTCCATTTCTTTAGGGTCACTTACAGATCTTTGTGCCTTTGGTTGTGTCATGTTTCTTTCATTATTCATGATCTTGTGGCCTTCCATTAGTGTTTTCATATTTGAAGAAGTAGGTACCTCTTCCAGGTTTTACAGGATAGCTTTGGTGAGGAAAACCCTTTGGCAATCGGCCTACTCAGTGATTCTGGGCAGATCAGCTGCTAGGGGTCCATGGGCATGATTATTGTTGGAATCCTAGACACAGTACCTTTGTGCAGTTCTTAGTGTGCAATCGCGCCTGGTGCCTGAGTCTGTAGAGGCAATTCTAGAGGTTATATCCTCCGAGGAAGGTCTTTATCTTGGGTCTTCATATGAAGGCCTTTGTGCCTGAGTCCAAGGTGGTAGACTGGAATCAAAGTAGGTAGACCTGGATCGTAGATCCTGGATCGTAGGTCCACTGGAGCAAGCTTATCAACTGGAGGACAACTAGCATGATGTCTAAGGTACTATGTCAGGGACTCAAACCACGGTCAGTCTAGAGCCCGGTCTGGAAAGGTCAGCCAGATGCCTGGATCCACTGGAGTCAGTCTAGACCCTGAGTTTGAAGGGGCAGGTCAACAATCTGGGGCTACTTGTGTCCTGGCACTGTGGCAAACCTGGAACTTGGGACTGTGGGACCCAAGCTGGAGCCTGGGGCCATTGGTGTCAGCTTGGAACCTGAGGCAACAGGATACATTCTTTTCATAATTTACTACAGATGGTCTCTGATTTATAATGGTTCAACTTAATGATTTCTTGACTTTAACATGTTCCAAAAATGATATCCATTTATAGAAACCACTCTGAATATATATACAAACTTTGCATGTTTTTAACTTTCAGTACAGTATTTAATAAAGAGATATTCAATACTTCATTATAAAATAGGCTTTGTGTCAGATGATTTTGCCAAAATGTAGGCCAATATAATTATTCTAGGTCTGGTTAAGCTAAACTAGTCTATACTATTATGTTTAGTAGGTAAGATGTAGTAAAAGAAATTTGACTTACATTATGATGGAATTATTGGGGCATATTCCCTTAATAAGTCTAAGAGAATCTGTAGTTATTTTTTTTAATTTTCTTTTATTAGTGTGTGTCTGTTTTCTTTTATTAGTGTGTATCTCTAGCACTTAAGTTTAACGTCTTTTCTTCAGGGTACATTTGTGGTTTTCTATCTCAAGCGTCTGAGAAATATTTACTAGTAGTATAAAAAATGATTATACTAATTTTTATGTTTCTGCACCACACAGGTAGTATTTAATTTAACCTTCAAATACTCTAGTGGTGCTGGACCATGATTAAAAAAATTGCCTGGGGTAAGATTTTTTTTTTCATTCAGATGAAATCAGATGTGCTTCTCTTTGACATCACTCTTTGCTAGTAGGTGAATTTTCATTGGGAGTGAAATCCTTTGTAGATCTCTGTCGTACCTCTCTGTCCATGTAGATATGAAAATAAAAACCCTTAAAATACCAAGACTGGCTCTTTCTTTTCAGAAAGGTAGCCAAGATATGCATACGTTCATTTATTACTCAAGTTTTCAGCTCCTTATGTGTTTTTTATTCACTTTTTCAGGCTCTTCTTTAAATGATGTTTGTGGTAAGAGCATTTGCAGGACATAGAGTCCACAATATTGCTAGCTTCAGAGATTCATTACATATTTTTTTATCAGAATAAAATATGAACCAGATATAGAAGTGCTTTGAAGACTAATGAGAAACTATTATGACTTCTAAATAGATGGCTTATTAAGGATCTTATTTTGAAAAATTACCCTCTTATAGTTTGGGATAACTTGCTTTTCTTTTTTCTTTCTTGATTTAGGGATGCACTTCTTTTGATTCAATGGAACATAAGGGCTTTCATGGCTGTGAAGAACTGGCCCTGGATGAGGCTCTTCTTCACGATCAAGCCTCTTGTTAAATCTGTGGGAATGAGAGAGGAGATAGTCAGCCTGAAGGAAGAGTGTATACAACTGCAGAAAGCCTTAGAGAAATCAGAATCTCAGAGGCAGGAACTGAAAGCAAAACAAGTGTCCCTTACCCAGGGAAAGAATGACCTGCTTCTTCAGCTGCAGGCTGTGAGTAGCCCCACCATTTGTTCTTTAAATCAGGTTTTAATTAGACTCCCTTGTTTAGCAAGCTGTGTTAATTTTGGGGGGAAAATAGAAGCACATGCTCTTCAAATGCCATAGAATTTCATCAAACACAGACAATGGAAACACTTAAAAATTCATGCTATTTCATAGTGAAGTGATTTTACTGGTAAGATGTCTTTGAAAAAGGGACAAATTATCAGATGGCTTTTTACTTATATAATAGTACCATAGTCTAGTATTGGGGGCGGCAGGAAGCTCTAGATCTTACTGTTTTTTTTTTTAAAGTTTCTTTCATGAGAGTAAGAGACAGACACCATCAATAGGGTTTGATGCCACAGTCCAGCACTCAGCCCTCCCAGCCAGCCAGGATGATGGATTTGTGTACTACATGTACAGGTCAACCAGGGAACCAGAACCATGATTTTCTGTATGGATCCAGAATAACTTGAGAAGTTTGTTAATACTGCACCACTGAACTGGTTCAACTGAGTCTTAATTTAAATTCTGTATGTAGCCATTAACAAATCAGTAGACAAGATTACTAGGGCCTGAAAAAGCTTGACTGAGATCTTCTTCAGGATTGTTGCAGTATGCTCCTAGGTGAATTTCCTGATTTGGGCCTTCTTCATTTTTTCCAGTCCAAATAAACATTACTACTACTAAGTTGAATTCTTAAAGCAGCAGTTCTCAACCTAGGCTTTGACCCAGTTCATTTGTGAAGCATTAGAAAATAAAAAGAAGTCTCTGTCTATTCTGATCTCTCCAAGAGTTTCTCATGTTTTCTACCAGCAGTTTTACAGTTTGAGATCTTAGGTTTAGATCTTTAATTCACTTGGAGTTGATTTTTGTTAGTGGCGAGAGATAGGGGTCCAGTTTCTTTTTTCTGCAGGTGGATACCCAGTTTTCTACCACCATTTTCTGAAGAGATTTTCTTTTCTCCATTAGATTGTCTAGTGTCCTTTGTCAAAAATCAGTTGGCTAGGGACCAGCAGTTAGCATAATGGCTATGTCACTGGACTCCCACATAGTCGATCGCGGTTCGCATCCTGGACCCGGTGGCTTAAACTCACGCCGGGCACGTGTGCGTGTGTGCCTAAGATCCTGAGAGGAGAATGGAGGAAAAGGGATTGCAGCGTGGCCAATCCCCCCGGGGGGGGGGGGGATTTCTTGCTTTCTGTCTCTCTGTCTCTGTCTGTCTGTCTGGCAAGCGCCTGCACCCTATAGCAAAAACCTCTCCAAAAAAAAAAAAAAATCAGTTAGCTATACATTTTGGTAAAATGGGAAATTATCTGTTGATGATAATATGGATGATAATATATTTGAGTCAATATACAGTGTATTCTGGATGAGAAAATTCTTTTTGTATGCTGTAATGATATAGAAAATTCCTTTTGTATATGTAATATAGTGATTGATTGTAAAAAAAAAAAAGAAAGAAAGGAAGAAAAAGAAATATGCCTAAAGCCCACTCTCAGATACTTAGATTAAGCACACTCTGTGTGGGTCAAAAAATATTATGTGATTCTGATATTAGTCATAATTAAGACTCATCATTTAAAAAAATCATTATGTTGCTTCCTGGTGAGCAACCCTCAGATCCAGCAATATGTAAATTTTAAACTCCAAATTCATGGTCCTGACATTCAAGTCTTTGCCACTAATCTGATGCTCAGGTACCATTACTCTCTTTTACTTTCTTTTCTTTTAAATAACTATTTCATTTAACTTTATTTATTTATTTATTTATTTATTTAAATTTGACCAGAGAGGGACAGAGCGAGAGAAAGATAGAGTGATAGAGTGAGAGAGAGAGTGAGAAAGCAAGCCACCAGTCCGGAACTCAAACCAGCTTGGCCATGTGGGAGTCCAGCGCCCTTAACCACCATGCCACCCGCTGGCCCCTACTCTCCTTTACTTTCCTTCTTCCTAGCCACCTGGTTTCTCCTGTGATCCCAAACATCCCAAAGGACAAGGACTAAATTTTATCCACCTTAATTATTCTCTCTGCCACACTTAGCACAGTAATAAGTTGAAAAATACAATTCTTTGAGCGGTTTTTCTTGCTTTTCAAATTTATTGAAAATAGAGATAAAATTTACTAAAAGTAAAAGAAAATTATACTTTTAGGCTGACCCAAGTTATTTTTTTTTTTAACATCAGAGCTGTGCTGCCTGCTAATGATGCATGAGAGGTCATATTTTCACTTAAGACTCTATGTTCAAACCTACATTTTTGATAAATATTTAACATAGCTTCCACTATTTATTTATTTATTTATTTTTGGAGAGTTTTCACTACAGGGTGTGGGTGCTCACCAGAAAGACAGAGAGATAGAAAGTGAGAAATCACCTCTCGTGGGGGATGACCATCCTGCAATCCTTTCTCCTCTCTTCTCCTTTCGGGATCTTGGGCATGCATGCACACACGCCTGGCATGAGTTTAAGCCACCAGGTCCAGGACTTGAACCACGGTCGACTACATGGCAGTCCAGTGACATAGACATTATACCAACTGCTGGTCCTTGCAATTTATTTTTATTTTTTTTTAAAGATTTATTATTTATTTATTTATTTAAATTCGACCAGAGAGAGAGGAAAGTGAAAAAGTGAGAAAGCAAGCCACCAGGTCCAGGACTTGAACCGTGGTCAGCCATGTGGGAGTATCCAGCACCTTAACCACCATGCCACCTGCTGGTCCCCTTGCAATTTTTTTTTAATGGATATTGCTAAACACAAAAGGGATCAAAGAACTAAGGGTTCTTTTAAAAACCTTCCCTTACTCAAAAACCAGCAGAACTGAGGGAACCCATGCCAGTTAACTAGTGAGAGAATAACTGCCTTTGGGGAAATGATCTGCTTGCTGTTAAACTGCCAAACGTTGCTCAGCTGACCCCCAAATCCTACAGTCATGTTTAATGAAAGGATCAGTGATGGTCGATTGAACTGTCCTCTTCATTCAGTGATGGTGACAAGCCCTGTAAACATGCTAAATGGAAGGCAGCAAACAACTGTTCTGCTTGTCAACCTGGGGTAAACTAAAATCAAACATCCCACTATTTCCCAGATATGGAAGCTTCTCTTATTTACATTGACCCTTCCTAAATGTCTTGACATTTTCCTTCTTCCTTCCCTCTTTCTTTCTTCCTAGCATAAGATAGGTATTTAGTACATTTCTTTATTCATTAATTTCTTTCTTTCTTTTCAACTGACATATAATATATATATATATATATATATAGTACAGGGTGGATTTTTTTGGTATATGAGTAGAATATGTAATGATAAAATCAGGGTTATTAGCATACCCATCATCTCATTTATCATTACAATGTGTTAGAATCATTCAAAATCTCCTCTTTTGGTTATTCTGAAATGCACACTAAATTATTATTGACTGTAGTTTCCTTACTATGCTATAGAAACTAGAATTTATTCTTTTGATTGAACTGTGATTTTGTGTTTGTTAACCAACATCTCTCTATCCTCTCACTCCCTACCCTTCCCAGCCTCATCATTATAATTCTACTCTCTATTTCTATGAGGTAAAAATTTCCAGTTTCTACATATGAATAAGAATGTGTAATTTTTCTGTTTCTGTGCCTGGCTTATTTCACTTAACATAATGTTCTCCAGGCTCAGTCCTGACATTTCTTTTTAATTAAGCCCCGCATTTGTAGGTCTTCAGTGAAGTTAAAGATTACTACTCTATACTTCTCTCCATTTGCACCTCTTTGAGCTCTATGTCTTGGGGAGGAAGTCATTGCCTAGCCAGGAGTTACCCAGAGGCCAGGATCCTGAATTTTTACTTTTTTTTTTTTCCTGCTTTTGATCTAATTAGTGGGTTTTTTTTTTTTTTCCTGATTTTGATCTAATTAGTGGACACAACTTAAGTGAGGCATATAGGTAGCTAATTAATTGTTCAAACTGGCATAAATTGGAAGATGGAAGAGGTCTACAGATGTAAGATGAAGATGTGTATGAAGCTATACTATAACAACACCTACAACAATTAAAAACATGCTCATGAAAAAAGGTTTTCTTTAGTCTCTAAAAAAGATAAATGAGAGGGCCTCAAAGTCATGAGAGGTGCTCTGTAGCAAAAAGCCCCTTCAGTTGTTACTTGACCCATAATATAGAAACAATGGGTCTCTCAGTAAGAGTTCGAAGCAGTGCACATGAAAGGATAAAAGGAAAGACTATTTTATGCTCTCTGTGCATAACTTGTGGAATTTGCTGCTGGCAGAATCATAGAGGCAAAGATTTTAGTTGGAAATAATAGTGGAATCTAGTTAGTGGCTTACAAGTAAGCTTACGAATTCTAAATTTGGCCTATAAATAAGAAAATATAGAGCTTAGCTCAATTTAGTAGAAGATACATACACACATATAAAATAAGTACATCAGGGCACTTACAGTAATGTAATAAATATCCTATTATCTGAAGGAATACTGCTTTCTTAAGACTGCATTCCGAGCAGGTATCAACCTCCAACTATATGCCCACATGGATGCTTCCAGAAGCTATGATTTAAGCAGCACACCACTGACTTTTGGAGGCCTGTTAGCTTCTTTAGGCCACTAGGATTCTATTAAGTGCTTTAGAAGAGGTAATCGAATCTACTGAATGAGCCTGAAAGATTGAAAGTACCTCCAAACATAAGCAATTCCTCCACTCCTCCACAATAGGATCAGGAACCTGGGAATATTATTTCAGCTGCTTAGGAGAGGTAGGTGAAAACGCCAGGCAGAGGGCAAGCAATTATCTCTTTGCTATGTGTTAAGCAGCATTTTCGCCTAGCTGATAAATTACTTCCAGCTGTTGGCAACAATTTTCTCCTCATCATGGCAGGAGCAAGAAACCCTGGCAAACGTTGAAGAGCAGTGTGAGTCGCTGATTAAATCCAAGATCCAGCTGGAGGCCAGAGTCAAGGAGCTGTCTGAGCGAGTGGAGGAAGAAGAGGAGATAAATTCTGAGCTGACTGCCAGGGGGCGGAAACTGGAAGATGAATGTTCTGAGTTGAAGAAAGAAATCGATGACCTGGAAACAATATTGGCGAAGTCAGAGAAGGAGAAGCGAGCTACAGAGCACAAGGTACTTTTTCTATAACATCAAGAAGTCCTAGGTGCTGGAATTCCACTCTCAAACTGGGCTTTTGTACCAGATTTGGTCTGTTGAGCTAACTACACAATGGACTGCAACTTTACAGTGTTGGGAGTCTGAATGCAGAAAGTAAAGGGTCTGATAAACTGTGCTGTCCCAGTTTAATTTTCCAATTTGAATTTATAGATTCTTGCTTTATCTCCCAAATGGAACATTTTTCATTTGTTCCAATCTTATTGCATCTGAAATCTAATAGAGCAAAACAGTTTTATCATACCACTAAGAATCTTTTTTTTTTTTTTTTTGAAGAAAAACAAGCATGGTATAGTTTACTAAAAGGTGATTTGGGATGTGTCTGAATCATCAGGTCTGCCATTGATTTGGAGTTTGACCTTGAAATGTCACTCTAATTCCAGTTACATACTTTAACATCTCGTTGAGGGTTTTAACTTGAGTGTCTATGTGTAGATTATGATAAACAACAAATAGCAGTTCTTGTTTTTATTGATTCTCTTTCATAAAAATCATGTGGGCCTGATATAGCCAGCCTCCATTTTTGCACAGTCCATCAGCTAGAACCCTTTAATTGCTGTTTTCTAAGGACACTGAGGCATAACACAATCAGTAAGAGCCCCCAGAATTCTCAAACAGAAAGTTAAATTCCCTTAATGGTCTTATTGTTGTATACTAATATGAAACAAATTGGCCATCCAGTGAGCTATGTGAATAATATTTGATTAACCAAAATACCCCATTTTGGGATCATTTCCAATAGCAGATCATTTTGAGGAAGAAAAATGAATTATAAATAGTATGTCAGGATGTTAGCTAAATGTGGTTCGTCATGACATTGGATACCTCATGAATTTCTTGGGCTATGAAACAGAGAAAGTCCTTACCATTATGCCCATCTTTCTAGTGGTGGATTTAATATCGCTGTTGTCATCTTCCCACAGGTCAAGAACTTGGCTGAGGAAGTGGAGTTTCTAAATGAGGATCTCAGCAAACTTAACAGAGCAACCAAGACTATGCAGGAGGCACATCAGCAGGCTCTGGATGACCTGCACATAGAGGAGGAGAAATCAGGCAACCTGAGCAAAGCAAAGTTGATGTTGGAACAGCGGGTGGATGAGGTAAGTAGAGATGCAGCTGACTAGTTCACTGCCTACGTACAGACATACCTCCAGTTTTCACTTAATTATCTAGGTCATTTCAGGGAAACTGAATAGTAGTATAGTTTGTTTCTTGCATTATTGAGAAGTTAAAAAAAAATAAATTCCCCCCTTTACATACACTGTACCACTACAGAGTAAAAAAAAAAAAAATTCCCCCCTTAACATACACTGAACCACTACAGAGTAAGAGAGGTCCCAGCACATCCTCTCTCAGTTTTTAAATGCAGCTTGCACACAACACTGGGCAGTGGGAAAGGAACATTGAGATGAATGGTAAAGGTTAGCACCCTAAGCGACTGGCTTTTCCCCATAGGTTCCACAGAACCTGGCATTTTGTCCCACAGATAAGCTGGTGCTCTATTCGACACTGGTGTGGAGGGATTGGTTTTAAAGGCCATGTTGTGTCTCTGGTGGTATGCCGAGATTTATCATTGAAAGATATGTAAGTCACAAGCTGTGTTCTGCCTATGCTATTAAAAAATACTTGTAAGATTCTAAAGATTATGTCCTGCTCTGCCTCTAAACCCCCAGTGAAATAAAAATGTTTCAAACTTCTTGCTCCAAAGCCGACATAGTATGCTCATTCATGCTCTTACTTGTCCTCAAAGTTTAGTCTTCATAAAATTGCTGACAAGGGTGATTAAGTTTCTTGACTATCTTCTGTTTTTGCCTCCTGTCTCTCTATCAGTTTATTCTATCACCTGTTGTCTTACTTTTTTAAAAAAAATTCCACAAACTGAATATTTCACAAAGCTTTACTGTAAGGATTTATGGGTGTTTGTATGTGTACATGTGCGTGCACATTACATAGAGATGCATTCTTTTTTGGTGTCTTATCTCTCTGGGCTGTGATAACAAACTACCATAGATGGGATGACTTGTAGCAGAAATCTATATCTCACAGTTAGAGAGAGAGGGGAGACTCAGATAAAAGTTTATAGATTTAGGGTCCTATGAAGGTTCACTTCCTGGCCTGTAGCTAGCCAACTTCTTGCTGTGCCCTCACATGGTGGATGGGTGTGGAACCTGTCTTATATCTTTATAAGGGCACTTATTCTGTTCATGAAGGTTCAGTTCTCATGACTCCATCACTTTCAAATGTCAGTCTACAACACTCATAATTCATCTACTTTCAGGTTTTCTTAATATACCGTTGAGAGATTCTCTGCCCTTAAATTTGAATTTCATATCTTTTTATAATTCCGGAAAATACCTTCCATAGCTGAAAAGTAAACAAAATCAATAAACAAAAAGTTGTACTATAATTGTTTTCTAGCTTCCTGCTAAACTAAATCCTATTTCATTGTTGGCAACACTAATACAGAATAAAACTGGTACATTCTGACTAGCTCTGTGAGATTCCAAAATGTGATACAACATTATGGACTAGAAGCAAGTATGTGGTAGAAAAGTCGTGGAAGTCATGCCATGTGAGGCATGCTTGAAAGGGCCAATAATACCGAGTTGGGAGACTCAAGAAGATGGCTGGATATTTATAGATGATCATGAGGAGACAGATTTATTTGTTGCTACTCCAGGGAGCAGGATTTGGGCTTGTAGGTGGAATTTACACAGACTAGTTTGACTTCGTGTGAAGAACTACTTCCGAGTAAATGGACTTACCCACCCATGAAATGAGCTGCCACATGCAGAAGTGAGCTTCCCATCATTGGAAAGTGGTCGAACAATGTCTCACTGAGCATTTCTTATTAGTTTCCTATAACAGAATGCATATTCCATAATCTCAAAACTTTTCTTCCATCTCTGATTTCTAGACTCTTCCATTAACTTACTCATGCATGAAATATTTATTTACAAATATCCATGTAACAGGCATTACTTACAGAATGTGTGCTTGTATTTTTCTTCCTTTATCCTGAAGGTAAGTGGTTAATGAACACTTTGAAGTACAAACTCTACCTATTTATTTGGCTAAATAATACCTTCTTTTGTCAGCTTGAGGGTGCCCTTGAGAAGGAGAGAAAAGCAAGAATGAACTGTGAAAGGGAAAAGCGTAAACTGGAGGACAACTTAAAGCTGAACCATGAAAGTATGGAGAGCCTGGAGAGCAGCCAGCTGCAGCTAGCAGAAAAGCTGAGGAAGTAAGCCACCTTTCTATTAATGTGAGATTTTGGGAGACCTTATATTGGAAGGCACAGCTCTTTCATTTCATTTACTCTCAGGACTCCATGACCAGATACCCAAAGACCTGGATGACAAGCTTAGGAAATTATCTTTTCTTTGCTAGATTTTATTATATACTTGTGAAAAGAGAGTAACGGTATACCCTAGAAGGGTATAATTAAGAAGGCATCTGACTATATAGATGAGAATGACAGGTGTAAGGCATATAAGATACAAATTATTGGAAATTTGGGACTGCAGTCAAAACATAAAAATAGCTCATTTGTTTTACTCATGACCAGTAAGACTATAAGAAGTTAAAACGAAAGACAACAAAACCCTGATGTAAAGTCTGATACACCCTCTGACCACTTAAATATTTGTCAGATATAACTTTCGCAATATTTATGTAGGGTTTGTATATGAAATAATTTACTATAAAATATTAAATTCTAAAACCCAATGCAAAACATGGGGACAATAAAAAATAGAGAGGCTTTCAAGTTAGACATATTCTTTATATCTCAATGAACTTGGGACAAGATGGCTCTCTCAGTTTGGTTCTAGTAGTCAGTGAAGTGGATTTTGTCACCTTATTCCTCTTGTCTTCTGTTTAAATACACTTTTTCTTTTTAACTATTTGGGATTTTTAATTTATTTAGATTAAAGCAAATATGAGAAAAAATGGGGAGATCCAAGAGGAGGATAAGACCACGTTAAAACTGGTAGCATTGGGACCAGCAGTTAGGGTAATGGCTATGTCACTGGATTCCCATATAGTCAACGGCGGGTCGCATACTGGACCTGGTAGCTTAAAACTCACGCCGGGCGCATGTGTGTGCGTGCCCAAGATCCCGAGAGGAGAATGGAGGAGAAGGGATTGTGGCGTGGCCATCACCCCTGGGGGGTGAGTTCTCGCTTTCTGTCTCTCATGCGCCCTATAGCAAAAACCTCTCCAAAAAAACCCTGGTAGATTCAATGACTGCGGTCTGCAGTAAAGTCAGTGGACCGCCCTGAGCTTCTTGAGTTCTTGTTTGTGTACATGCATTACCATTGTACCTGTTCTTGGTGGGATCAATGACTATTCTAAGGTGTTGAGAAAAGATGAAATAAGTAACCGTATGAATGCAATAAAATGGTGTAAGGCAAAATGATGATAGAGTTCCCTTAGCATTCAAATGTGAAGACTTGTGTTTTGGTTAAACAAAATGAAAATGATACACCATGTCCTTGTAGGCCATAGGTCAGAGAGATTCAGATTTTAGAAATCCATATTTTCTGAAAGTTGTAATTTCATTGTAAAACCTTTTTTCTAAAGGGATCTATGTATGTATAAAACTAATACATGATAAAAGTAGCATTTCAGATTTGTGATAATGTGATGTTGGGTTGTTGGAAAAGTCATGACACATTTTTGCATAGAAAATTACATCATGACTTTTCTGACAACCCAATAGAACACTTAATAAATGGTGTTTAGACTATTAGCTACTCACTTTCTGAGGTAAAAGTTACATTTCTTCCTCACACTATTCACATACACAGGCATGTTGTATTAAACAATTCAATGTAAAGCAAAGCTACAAAACCATTAGAAGATGCACCATTATTTATAGTTGCTAAACTATGAAAGCAACCTAAGAATCCGTTGATGTATAAATGGATGAAGAAAATGCAGTATAGCCATACAGTGAAAATTGATTCCTTCAGCCTTTAAAAAGAAGGAAATCCTGCTATATGCAACAACATGAATGAACCTGGAGGAAATAAGTCAGTCACAAAAGGACAAATACCACATGAATCTACTAAGATGAGATATCCAAAACAATCTCACACTTAGGAATAAACTCAGAATGGTGGCTGCCAGGGGCTGGGAGGAGGAGGAAAACTAGAAATTGCTGTTCAGCTGGTATGAAGCTTCAGTTATGTGAGATGATTAAGTTCTACAGATCTGAGTCCAACATTGGGCCTATAGTAAATATTGCACTTTACACTTCAAATCTTAAGAGCGTAGTACAGTTTTCTTTTCCTTTTAATCACACTTATTTTTAAAATTAGAAGAAAAATACAGGTGAGAAGTCTTGGGAAATTGGTGGCTTAAGTCTTCTTGAACAAATCACAAAAAGCCAAAGACAAAAGAATATTTTGATAAATATGACATCAAAATTTTAAACAATTATGTGGCAAAAGTCAATATAAATGAGATTGAGACAAATCATTATAGGAGAGATAAATACATGCAAAAATAAATATCAAGACTATTAAAATTAGGCTGGCCCCATAACACTACAATGAAGTGCTATATTGAGAGAGCCAGATTCTACATGACCAACTGAAGTCAAATCCTCATTCAGCCAGGTTGAAAAACATGCCTGGCATATATGCACATGCCTAGGAACCTTAAAGGATGGAAAAATTGAGGAAAAAAAGGATTGCTGTGTGACCAGGCCCTGTTGAGGCGTTCTTTCTCACTCATGCACATGTGCATGCACACATACACATTGTAGCATTAAAATAAATTAATAGAAAATCTGTAATTCAATAATTTAATGACCATTCTAATAGAAAAATGGGCTAAGGATATAAACATAGTTTATTTGGTTTATTAGCCATTTAAAAATATTTATAGTTTGTCAGATGCTGTTATCATTGGTAAACAAAGATATTAAGCATAAAATCCTCACCTATTCTCTAAGAAAAATTTAGATTATGCTATGAAGGATAAATACAGGTAAGTAATATTTTCATGCTGTTATTGGGAAACAAAAGACAGGATTATTACATCTTAAAGCATGCACCTTTTCCTTACCCAGCAATTCCTTGCTTGCTATCTGTTCTAGAGAAACACATGTACACATGAGATGTGTTTGGGGCACTATTTTTTGTGAGAAAATACTAATTGTGAGCTGGAAAATTTGGAGACAGGAGATGTAAAAATCATGGGAAACTAGTTATAGTTAACTTTAAAAAATTTTCCCAGGGGGTTTGCCAGAGAAAGACAGAGAGAGAGAGAGAGAGAGAGAGAGAGAGAGAGGGAGAAAGTTAGAAAACATGGGGGAAGGTCACACTGTAATCCCTTCACCTCCATTTCTCCTTTCTTTTTTTTTTTTTTCTTTTGGGGAGGTTTTTCGCTATAGGGCGCGTGCGCTTGCCAGACAGACAGAGAGAGACATAGAGACAGAAAGCAAGAAATCACCCCCCAGGGGGGATGGTCACGCCGCAATCCCTTCTCCTCCATTCTCCTCTCGGGATCTTGGGCACGCATGCACACGCGCCCGGCGTGAGTTTTAAGCCACTGGGTCCGGGACGCAAACCACAGTCGACTACGTGGGAGTCCAGCAACATAGCCATTACGCTAACTGCTGGTTCCCTCCATTTCTCCTTTCATGAGTTTGGCTATATGCACATTACACCTGGCATGTTTTTCAAGTTGCCAGATCTAAACTCTAACTGTGCAGTCAGACATGTGGTACCCAGCTGCCTAAACTACCATGCCACTGCTGGCCCCATACTTAACTTTCTTTGTTTAAAGGAGTTTTTGCTATGGGGTGCATGTGCTCGCCAGTAAGGCAGAAAGAGACAGAAAGTGAGAAATCACCCCCCAGGGGGACGAGCATGCCTCAGTCTCTTCTCCTCCATTCTCCTCTCGGGATCTTGGGCACGCATGCACACGCGCCCGGCGTGAGTTTTAAGCCACTGGGTCGGGGACTCGAACCACAGTCGACTACATGGGAGTCCAGCGACATAGCCATTAGACCAACTGCTGGTCCCCCATACTTAACTTTTAAATGAAGCAAACTATGTGCAAGTCAGCATAGAAGAATCTCCAAAATATTATTGGGTTATAAGTTACAAATCTCTATATAAAAATGCATACAATATTATAGCTTTCTTAATAAAGAAAATAAAACTATTTCTATAGCTATACAAACAAATAAATATACCCATACTTCAAAACATGCCCGAAGAATTTACACCAAATGGCTAATGGTGGTTCCTCTATGCAGAGAACAGGGATTTCATGTAATAGTCTTCAGGTACAGATGTAAGTATTAAATCTTACAGTGATAATGAATTCATATATTCTGCAATTTAAAGAATATTTTAAAAAGTTATTATTCTGAACAATTCCATTTGATACATTTCTCCAAACAGGAAAGAATTAGAAATGAGTCCTATGAATTCAAAGATAGAGAGTGAGAAAGGCCTGGTGGCTCAGCTTCAGAAGATGGTTAAAGAACTTCAGGTAATAATTTGTCAAATACTGGTATGTACCTGTTTTAAATGTGTGGGTGGTGATTAGTGTTTCAATAACAAATTCTTTGCCAATGTATCCAGACTCTTAGCCAACTGTAGACAGAGGCAGAAAGAAAGCAGTGGCTAAGAAGGTAAACTGTAGCATCCACAGGTGTGTGGCCTTACGAAAAAATTACTTTATAAGCTTAGATTTTCTTATTATGAGGATAATAAAAATTGAATGGCTAATTTGTTGAATGTTTGTGGTAAACCAGGCACTGTACCTGACAAACTTTGAACTTTAAGCTAATATATTAAATGCTGCAGTCTATTTAATGATAAGCACAGTGCCTAAGCCATGGTATACACTGAGCATTAGTCATTTAATTTTTATGATGATTATGCTCTGTGATTAGGCAATTATGCTGAAAATCAGTAAGTTCTGTAGCTACCTGTAGCCTCAAAACATATGGCAATGGAGAGCTACTTAAAAGTTTCAGAGTATATAACTATTTTATACTATATAACCATGTTATAAAGTCAGTAAAAATGTGTATATGTGTATATATACACACATACATATTTACACAATGTATATATGTATATACATATATATAAACACACTTATGTATATATGTATATATGTATATACATACATAATATACTTGTGTGTGTATATATATGTACATATATATATGGGACTTCAAAAATATTAATGGAAAAGTAAGTTTAAAGTATGAGTTTGTTTTGATACAAAAAAATTGAAATCCGTGTAGTTTGTTCATAATAAGCATTTTCCAACTTTTGAACTTTGTGAAGGTCCCCTCATATAATATTCCCTTACATATATATCCATGCATCAAGATGGATTTTTTTCCCCCGCTAGAGCTAAATAAACATCTCAATTATATAATCACTACTCAGAGTAACTTTGGAAACCCTTCCTTATGCTTACCTTCTGAGACATTTTGAGCCAAATCAAAATGCCAACCTCACTGCTTTGTGAACACGCTTTGTTTTCAGACAATATTAGTCTCCAAATGATGATGTATCATATTTACAAAGCTTCAAATGACACTTTGTCCAAAAGTAAACTCCTCACAAATAAAAAAAAGAATACCAACTTCAATATGTCAACTTATCAAAAAAGGAAAATTATCCTACCTGGATAAAAATTTCAAGAAGTTCTCTGGGATTATTTTTGAAGAAATCTTTTAAAATTATTTGGTTCAATGACAGTAGTGTTTGGAATAAATTTATTGGACCTGAAGATAACTAGTTGAAAGGAGATGATTTTTTCTTGGAGGTAGCAATCATATATATATTTTTAAACACTTTACTGTCATCCTCATCTACAGGACTGACAGTCTACTTATTTGGTAAAGCCAATCCCTAAGACAACATTTTAAACTTTATATCTTTTGAAAGGGGCACCCTCAACATGGTCTTCACACTGCAACCACCCTCTTTCTCAGCTGAGGACATAGGCACACATGTGCATGTCTGACATGCTCAGGGAGGGCCAGGGACTGGAACCTAGGGCCTTCCTACTGTGGATTCAGTTGTATAACCACTGAGCCACTGACTGGCTCCTCGCCACTTTACTCTTATTTAATAGAAAGAAAAACATGTAATAAAATAGGTTCTATCCTTTTTCTTCCTTATTCTAACTTACGTCTAATTACTTAAGATGATCACTGACTTTTTGGTATTGTAACAGTGATACTGTTCATAGGGCTATGTGACACTACACTAAATGGCTTTGGGGCTCTGAGAGTTTTTATCTCTTCTTTTCCTAATGATCCTGCCATTAATGGTGTCAGATTACTGTTCATGTCAGTACAGCCCATTCCTCCACAATTCTAATTTTTTACTTCAAAGCTCCTACTTGAAATATTTTGCAGACTAGGACACCAATTAATCATGTTTGCTAGAATTAAGGGGCTAGTAAGTGGCATGGTGGTTAAGGAACTGGACTCCCACATGGCTGCCCACAGTTTGAATCCCCAGACCTGGTGGCTTGCTCTTTCACTTTGCCTTTCTCTCTCTGGTCAAATTAAAAAAAAAAATAATAAATAAAATAAATGAATAATTTTTTAAACTAAAGAATGATGGGGTCCTATGTATATGCAATTGAGTGTATTAAGAAAATAGAATTTTGGAGGCCAGCAGGTGATGAAGTGGTTAAGGTGCTGGAATCCCACATGTTCAACCGTGGTTTGAGCCCTGAAATTCATGCCAGGCCTGTGTGCATATGGGCCCAAAATTCTGAGAAGAGAATGGAGGAGAAGGGATTGTGGCATGGTCATGTATCCTGAGGTGTGGTTTCTCATTTTCTCTCTCCACATCTCTCTGTCTCTGGCAAGCTCACACATCTGATAGCAAAAATCTCTCTCTCTAAAAAAAGAATTATGTATAAAATTAAATTAATGCTGTTCTCTATGAATAAATTGCTTGGACTTGGAGGAATTCATTCTATTGATCAGAATTTTTAATTTTTAATAAGAGAGATGGGGTATTTTTGATAGGAACTTGCCATTGCAATTCTCTGCCTCACTGTTTCAATTAGCTAGAATTATAGTTGTGCACTATTGCATCCAGCCCACTCCAATTAGCCTGGAATCCAAATCCAGGCCTCCTATATGGCCCCAAACTCATGCAGTGATGACCTACCCTTTCTACCACTCTACAAATTTCCCCTAAGTTCCTGATAGTTCATGGATTTGTCAAGGAAACAACTTTCCAAGTATATGTAAAATTAATCATGTTGTTTTAAAAACATAAACTTTTTAAAATCTTTTTTTGTTGTATGAAATATTCTTTCTATTCCTTTGGGAAGTTTTCTTTACTAAGGTTTCCCGCTCATTTATATAATTTAATGAGGTCCATTATTAATATCTGAGAGATCTAGAAGAACTGAAGATTCTATTTCTGGTCTTGGTACCAATTTGGGGCAAATAATTTAACTTTTTTGTATTTTACTTTCTTTATAAATTAGAAACCAGAAGTCTTATATTGGCTACCTTAGTTGTGCAAAGCCCTGAAAAAGAAAAAAGACTAGAAAAAAAGCTCTTGATTGTGTGACGTACCACAGATGTTTAGCAAAAGTTAAACTTATTTATTGCTACAGATTCAGATACAGGATTTGAAAGAGGAATTGGAAGCAGAAAGGACGGCTCGAGCCAAGGTGGAAAGGGAGAGAACGGACCTTACCCAAGACCTGGAAGACTTGAGTGAGAGACTAGAGGAGGCAGGAGGCGCCAGTTCTTCTCAGCTGGAGATAACTAAAAAGCAGGAGACAAAATTCCAGAAGCTTTGTCGAGACATGGAAGAGGCCACACTGCACTTCGAGGCAACATCTGCCTCTTTGAAGAAGAGACATGCAGACAGCTTGGCGGAGCTGGAGGGCCAGGTAGAAAGTCTACAGCTGGTCAAGCAGAAACTGGAAAAAGAGAAGAGTGACCTGCAGCTAGAAGTAGATGACCTGCTGACCCATGCTGAGCAGATGACCAGAGCAAAGGTACTCACAAGCCTTCTCTGTGAACTTCTGAATGTGGAAACAGGTGTGGGAGGGGAGGAAGCAGAAAAACAAACCTCATTGGTGACTGTATGTATTTGCTACTGGAGGTGATAATTCTTCAGACTGAATAGATCAGGCCTAACCTCAGTGGTCATTGTTAAGATCACATAGCAGCCACCTGAATGTGACCTGACAGCAGTTTCTTGCTTTATCCTAATTTCAGTTTATGTTCTATATGGATCTTTCTTGTGGTGGCATAAACAAGTGAGCTACAAAAATGAAGTTACTAGTTACATCTCTCTTGAAGAATAGCTTTGTGTTGGCAACCCTCCTTGAGGGTGGCCTAGATACATCTAGAGCCTGCGTGAACTAATAGTGGACAAGGACAGCTTTGCTGAGAGGAGAAGCTTCTTCTCCCTCATGTCCTTAGGCATCTCTTCAACCAGCCAACACTAGAAGAAAGTTTTATCATGTATTTTTTCTTTGGCTAACCCGTTAACCTACATGCTGCAAGCTCCAGAGTTAAGTGCTTACTATCAGATCATGGGTAACGATGTCAGATCATGGGTAATACTGGCCCTACATTCTGGTAGTTGACAAGAGCCTTGGTTTAGGTTTAGCTGAGCAAGTGGAGAGTTGCCACACCCTCTATTCCTTGTGAGCAGAATTTGTGAACTCATCTGGGAAAGGCATGATGCAACAGTAAAGCTTGATCTCCAAGGCTTTCCTTTCCACTGTCTCTGTGTCTGGAGGTTGAAAAGTCCAGGATCAAGACAACCACAGACTTGGTAAGGGCTCTCTGCTTCAAAGATGGTGTTCCTTGCTATATTCTCATATGGAAAAAAGGCAAAAGGGGATAAAGGGACAAATCCTCTTTTTTTTTTTTGGAGAGGTTTTTGTTATAGGGCGCGTGCGCTTGCCAGACAGACAGAGAGAGACAGAGAGATAGAAAGCAAGACAGCAAGAAATCACCCCCTGGGGGGATGGCCACGCTGCAATCCCTTCTCCTCTGTTCTCCTCTCGGGATCTTGGGTACGCATGCACATGCGCCCAGTGTGAGTTTTAAGCCGCTGGGTCCGGGACGCGAACCGCAGTCGACTAATGGGAGTCCAGCAACATAGCCATTATGCTAACTGCTGGTCCCTGTTCCCCTTTTGTAAGGTCCCATTTATGAGGGTTCTACTTTCAGGACCTGATCACTTTCTAAAGACTCCATCTCTTAAAACTGTTTACATTGGCAATTACGTTTCATGAATTTGGTGGGTACAAGTTCAGACCATAGAACCCTGCCACCATACCCCCAATTATCTTGACATATAAACCTAGTGCAAATTTAGGCCTTCTCTTTCTCCTGTATCACATAAATTCTACATTTTTTTTTGAGAGGTTTTTGCTATGGGGCGCGTGCGCTCATTGGACAGAGACAGAGAGACAGAAAGCGAGAAATCAACCCCCAGGGGGGATGGCCATGCCACAATCCCTTCTCCTCCATTCTCCTCTTGGGATCTTAGGCACACAAGCACACGCACCCGGTGTGAGTTTAAGCCACTGAATCTGATACACAAACCACGGTTGACTACATGAGAGTCCAGTGACATAGCCATTACGGTAACTGCTGGTCCCAAATTCTACATTTTTAATGGATTCGTCCTTCCTTCTTTCCTTCCTTCCTTCCTTCTTTCAAGAGGTTTTTGCTATAGGGCATGTGCACTCCCTAGAAAGACAGAGACAGAGAGACAGAAAGCAAGAAATCACCCCCCAGGGGGGATGGCCACGCCGCAATCACTTCTCCTCCATTCTCCTCTTGAGATCTTGGGCATGCACACACATGCGCCTGGCGTGAGTTTAAGTCACCAGGTCCAGGACTTGAACTGCGGTCGACTATGTGGAAGTCTAGCAATATAGCCATTACGCCAACTGCTGGTCCCATGGATTCTTTCATTTTAATGGCACTGAATATCTTCTTGCTCACTGCCTTGTATGCTTCCTTCCTCCTCACAAGTGAGGCTCTGGAAGTGTTTACTCTCATGATTTATTTCATGCCCCTAATTTATCCTCAGAAATTCTTCACTTTCTGTACATTTTAATTGGAACTCAAAATCCTAAAACCCTTAATAGGTGTACCATAAAATCATACTACATATGCCTTTCATACTTTTTAACTTCCTCTAGAATTTATTGGTCCTTAGAACTCTTCATTCTTTATTTTTCTAACTCACTTTCTGTTTTACTTTATGCAAAATCCTTCCTCATATCCTAACCCTGCCTCTTCTAATCTTTACTTTCAATAAATAAGACCTGATAAAATTAAGACTACTCAATATAATTATTTTCTTCACCTTCTACATTTTTTCTTTTCATGTATTCTTTTCTTTTCTTCTTGTCCCAGGAAATAAATTATTATTCTACATAGCCATTATTCAGCCATTCTAAAAAGCAAAAACAAGTAAAAAGGATCTTTCTTCAGACACCAGAGACGGTGTCTTGAGAGGAAAGCAAAGTTTCTACACCTTACATCTGTCTCTGTTGAAAGACTAGTGTTCCATTTACCTCTTGCTGTATAACAAATCATCCAAGAACCTTGTTGCCTAAAATAAAAATTTACTATTATCGCTCCTTTTTCTGGATGTGGACAGGGTCAGCTCATATGGTTGCAGTGAGATGACAGTTAAGGCTGGAGTTGTCTGAAGGTTTCTTCACTCACATTTCTGGCTCCTGGGTTGGGATAGCTAGAGTAGCTGGGAGCTGGTTGGAAATCTCTTTCTTTGTGACCAGCATGTTCTTTCTCACAGCACAGCAGCCACAGAGTACTGGATTTTTTACATAGCAATTTAGGGACTAAGAAAAATTGGTCCAAGAAACCAAAGCAAAAGCTGCAAAGATTCTTATAACTTAGGCTTACAGTACTGTGGAGTGACTCTGAGTGACTTCTGTCAGTGACAAATCACAAGGTCAAAGGTGTGAGTACCTGCAGGTCTGACTCATTAGGACACCACCTTAAGAGACTGTCTTCTACAAATAGGTGGATATTTTACTACCTTCCAACTTCTCTAGTCTCTACAATCTGGCTTATTTCCTGTGCTTTCTTAAAAGTATTTTCCTAAGTTTTTCTCAAAGATCAGTAATGTCTTTCTTTCCCCAAATCTGCATGTCTAAAACCAAACTGACCACCTTTCCTGAGGTAAGCATTTCCTTTGGACCTTTGTGTCACTGGCACCTGGCTCTTCCTATCAGTCAGACTCTAAGCTTCAATTACTTGTTCTATTTTTTGCTTTCCAATCAGTTATCATAACAGGTCACCTCATCATTGTCTTCAGCATATTCCATTCCTATTCCCATTCTCACATAGGTCTCTTACTGCCTTTTAGCTTGATCGTTGCAGTAGTTTCCTAACTTATCATTTTCTCTTCTAGTCTTTCTATTTTCCAATGTATCCTTTATAGTATCCAGATTAGATTTTTTGCTAGCAGATGTGTACAAGAGAGAATGAGAGAAAGAGAACCCCCCACCACCCCATGGAGGATGGTCATGACACAATCCTTTTTCCTCCATTTCTCCTGTCAAGATTTCAGGCACACATGCATATACTCCTGGTGTGTTTTTCAAGTTGCTGGGTCTGGGACTTAAACTTCACAGTTGGCCACGCGGGATCCAGCTGCCTTGACTGCCATGCTACCGGCTGGCCCCCAGATGAATATTTGTAAGGCATGGCTTTATTCTTACCTAAAAACATACTCCAAGCTTTTACTTTCAAAGTACCCTGCAGCCTGTGATTAAACTCAATCTGCCTTGCCAATTTTAGATTCCATTACTTTTTTACATAGACCTTCCATTTCAACCAATGCCAAATGCTTGCCTTGGACCAAATATCAATTTTCCCACCAATATGCCTTTTTCAAACTAATTTTTCTCTCTAGAATGGTCAAGTCCAACTTCCCATTTTACAGATTTTACCTATTTCTGAGTTCCTGTAGCACTTGTGGTGCCCCCTTTTCACTGCTGCATTGTATAGTTTTCCAGCATTACTTAAAGAGAAGCCATCTTTAAACCAGAAAGTAGGTCTCATTTTATTCACATTGACTCTTCATACAGTGCTTTGATCAGTCTGTGTACTCAGTTACTAGTATTAACTTTTGTATATTCCTCTTGGAGCCCACCGACTCAATGACTTGTCCAAGGTCACATGAGTATATGGCTGAAATAGGCCTCAATTCCAAATTCTTTCTTTCTAGGGGTGACCGCAGCCTGTTGCTGCCTTAAATGTTTGTTGATGGGATAAATGGATTCTGCTCACTCTCATAGGCATGTACATTATGCTGAACTTTTTCTTGAATTGTTTACTTCATCTTTTTCTGAATTATGATGCCAATGCTCAGTGGTACGGTGGAAACAGAAGCATTTTCAAAAGCATATTATGCTGACAGAGAGGCCCACGGCAATTTAGAAGTTATAGGCAATCTCACAATTATCTTGATTATTTTGAATTCCCATTGGTTTCTACATTTCTGGGAGGCAGCATTTTTATGCATTATTTTAAGAACTAGATTTAAGAGGAATGTGCATTATTACATTAACCTCCTCTTTCCTGGTATCAAAATTTACTGTTAATTCTTGTGTTTAAATTTAAGATTTTTTTTTTTTTTGCTATAGGGCATGTGCACTCACGAGAGAGAGAGAGAGAGAGAGAGAGAGAGGAAAGCGAGATCACTCTGCAGATGGCATGGCCACACTGAAATCCCTTATCCTCTGGTCTCTTGGGATTTTGGGGTATTCATGTACATGCACCTAGTGTGATTTTCATGCTGCTGACCACACAGTTGGTCATGTGGGATCCAGTGCTTTAACCTCCACCCTATCTGCCAGCCCAAATTTGAGATACTTTTAAAGGAACAATTCTTTTGTATGCTGTTTTCTGTATAAACCACCTTTAGATAAACAACTGCACTGTCTTGTGCAGAACCTGCTTAAGGAAATACTTCATAAATTGAATAGTGGTAAACAGTACTATGAATGCCTACCATGTGACACTTTGCCTGAGGACAAGAACCTTATTTATCTACTCAGGTGGGCTACCCACTCTATAGATATGCATATCCCAGCTGGCCTTTACCATATGGATCTGTCTTGGAAGCTGGGAACTCTCTTGATTCTTTTTTTTTTTTTTGCTATTTCCACACACTAGTGACTAAGTTGTCTTATATAGATCCATGCTTTTTCACCCTTAACAAACAGGAGCATAGCAGAGCATATGCAAGGCCATAAACAGATGTGTCATTTCTCACATTTAGGTGTGTTCTTCCTGGCTCAATTAATGAGTCATTTATTACTGGCAGCATCATAAAATTAAAATGTACGCATTATAATCATTACATTTTTACTCAGTTTCCTCTGAGACCCAGGATTCATGATGATTCAGGTCACCTAAGACCTCAAGTCTTTGTTGTCACTACTTTGGCAGATGCTTAGAAATCTCATAGTTTTTTGTTTGTTTGTTTGTTTTGTTTTTTAAATTTTGTGCATCTGCATAGGAAGTTTCAGTTGAAATCCCAATTCTGATAGTTCTATACTTACTGTGTTAATTTTGGGCAAGGTATTTTGCCTCTCTGATGTTCATTTTGATCATTTATAAAACAGTTAATCTGAACTCTTGAGGGATATTGTGAGGGAAAAAAAAATCAGTGTTTCAACTTTGACTGTCAAAGTCACTTTTGGAATGAGAGAAAACATATTCAACACTCAAAATATAATTAGAAACTATGCAGACAACTTACAAACTGTTACATTTATCACTACTCTAGTGTGGATAATGTTAAATGCACACCTGGCATTTAACATTAGTGTTCTGACTTCGTGATGCTGATGGCTTTGGGTGAGAAGCTGGTCACAGTATCTCTGCCAGGTCTAGTTTCACAACTACTGCACTGCAAGCCAGAACTACATGGCATTTTTTTGGGGCATGTACCTGATTAATTCTTCTCTTGTTTGCTAATCAGTGGGAAATACACTGACCAAGTTAAAGAACAAATTTGGAGGTCAGGGCTTCAATATTCCCTCAAGAAATGTCAGTAGGTATGCTGGCCAATCTCTGACTGACGTCTGTAATAATTTGAGTGTCTTAGGCATTTATTGAGTGCTTAAGTACATCAAGTACAGCCATTGCTATATCATAACAAACACAATTAGGTTAACATGAGCCTATTAGGATTACCATTGGCTTTCACCATTTTAGACTCCTTTGGTATAATACCTTGTCTCCTTATTCTTCCATTTCCATAGCCCTCTTTCTATGTAGAAACAAACTCATGGGGTTATTGTATGAATTGAAATTTAATACATTTAAGAGCTTAGAAGAGTTAGGTATATAATAAGCACCCAATAAATATTAACTGCTACTATTACTATCATTTTTAATATCACATCATTATTGTCAGGAAAATGAAAGGCATTCAACAATAATTTATTAATGAGTTTTACAAAAAAACTGTAAAATATATACAACCATGGAAGTCTACCAATGTCACTTTACTGCTTCTGACCACATAAGTGGTAAGAATGTAAACTACAGCTAATTCCTACATAAAGGGGGTACCCCATATTACATCTGGCAGTTCTTCGTCTCATATGAGGATCCTGTGTCTTAAAATTACCAGCCCGAGTATCCACAGTGTGGCAAGAATGTGGTGGTTAAATTCGTCACCTAAATAAGGTAGAAGTGCAAAAACCAATGGCATATCCTTTTCTTCAAGCATGAAAAGCCAGTTCTTAAGCAGTTGGTGTAGGGGATTGAGGTGAGAAGAGCCCAGTAGGGCTGTCTAGAGCCTGTAGCCATACACAGTGATCAGGAGAGTACAGTTGCTTTGACCGCAGATTTCTGTTATTAGGCTATTAATATCCATCTATTAGGTCATCAGGAAAGTCATGACATATATTTATGTTTTTCTATGTAAAAATGTTTCAGGAACCAGCAGTTAGTGTAATGGCTATGTCGCTGGACTCCCACGTAGTTGACCGCGGCTTGCGTCCCAGACCCGGTGGCTTAGAACTCACGCCGGGTGTATATGGGTGTGTGCCCAAGATCCCGAGAGGAGAATGGAGGAGAAGGGATTGCGGTGTGACCACCTCCCCTGGGGGGTGATTTCTCACCTTCTGTCTCTATCTCTCTCTCTGTCTGTCTGGCGAGCACACGCGCCCTATAGTGAAAACCTCTCAAAAAAAAAAAAAGTTTCATGACTTTCCCACAACCCAGTACTTTCTCCTATCCTGGTTGATAAGCTCTCTAGATTTCCTTGTTTCTTTCTCTCTTACTTCCTCTCCCTCTGTGCCTCTTCACCTGTTTATTAAGATCCTAGTATGTGATAGACACTATTATAGGCACTGGGGAATATATCTGTGATCAGATAGAATTTTTATCCTCATGATACTTACATTGTAGTAGGAGAGAAAGTCAGTTAGATTTTATATCAAGAGGTGATCATGTCTGATACCACACTGATATTTTCTTCTCCAGAAGACCAAGGAATTCTAGACAGCCCTAATACACGGGGCCCTGAGTTTCTTCAATGACACCTATAAGCTGATAAATCTAAGCCCCTTAGGGGCCTGGACTCTAGTGCTTATTATACTTGCTTAAATTAGAACATTTAAGAAATTTGGAAAATTGATTTCCCTGTGCTGGCTGTGATAATTACTATAGAGGAGATCATGCAGGTACTAAAAGCTACTTCATACTAAGCACCAGCCTTAATTTTGTGTTTTAACTTGGTCAGGATGTTACTCACTGATTAACCAACAAGTAAGAAGCAAATCAGATTGAATGTATAAAAGAAAAAGAAAAAAAAAGAAGGAGCAAATCAGACACAGGCCCATCCGGAGGCTGACCAAGAATGAATGTCACATAGTTTTAGCTCACAGATGTTCCTCACTGTACTCAGATTTCATGGTGGTTGTGATACTAGACTGGGCAGAGATTAAAAAGCCATCTTCTTGTAAAATTCACTCCTTCCTTGGGCAGCCAATTCAGTATGGCCACTATCATCCATGACTAACTCTTTTTTCTTAACTAGGCTAATGCTGAGAAACTCTGTAGTTTGTATGAAGAACGCTTGAATGGAGCAAATGCAAAACTTGAAGAGGTGACTCAGTTGACAAATGACCTGACAGCACAGAAGACAAAGTTACAGAGTGAGAGTGGTAAGCAAATACACTGCTTTGTTCATGAGTAGTTCTCAGTCTCCACAAACTCATGGAGGTGTAACTATCTACTGAGACTAGGTGGCTTTTGAAGATTCTAGGGGAAGAGTGTAACCTCTGAGATACCTTGTCCACAGTCATGCCTCTTGTCTGCAAAGGCTTACCTCTGTACCACTTTTGGAGGCCCTACCCAGCATCCTTCTGTGAAATAGAAAAGCTACATATGCAGCCAATAGAAGTAGGCATGACTACGAGGCATGACTTTTTTTTTTATAACTTCTTCCTCATTAAATAGGCATTTTCCCCCTAATTTTCAATAATGAACCTATATTTATTTTTATACTCAGAAAAAGCCATAGTCTGTACAATGGCCAGCATGGGCCTGTCTTATTGCCCCACCCCATTGCCTCTGTGACCTCTTCAGCAACTTTACTCCTTCTTTTATTCTGCCTTAGCCATGCTGACCTCTTTGTTCTGTTTGAACACACCAGGCACGCTTTTTTTTTTTTTTTTTTTTTTTTTTTTTAACGAGAGATTTTTGCTATAGGGCACAAGTGCTTGCTGGAGAGACAGAGACAGAGACAGAAAGTGAGAAATAATCCCCCCAGGGATGGCCATGGTGCAATTCCTTCTTCTCCATTCGCTTCTTGGGATTTTGGGCATGCACGCGCATGCACCCAGTGTGAGTTTCAAGCCTCTGGGTCAGGGACTGGAACCGAGGTTGGCCATGTGGGAGTCCAGCGACGTAACCATTATGCCATCTGCTGGTCCCAATAATGCATTCTTAAAACACAGAATTTATACTTTAAAAGGAGAAACAAGACTAGTTTGATTGTGTAAGATTCTCTGCAAGTGAATTCCTATGTTTCTAGATGCTAAACTAGGGTCAGAGCTAAATTAAAATGAGTTGGCACAGCTACAAACCTGGAAATCTAGAAGAAAGGAGTGTTTGTGGTTCTAGAAAAGACACTGAATAGGACTTTTCTTACACTGTCTACAGGGTGTGTGACACTAGGCCTTGTTACAAATGTCCCAATTTGATCTGTGCCATTTAGGATATAGTCAGGATACTGCAGAGTTCATAGTCCAGGGAATATCTGTATTCTGGCCCTGCAGAAAGTGCTGCATAAAATATGTTTTGATAGACATTGGCTGCCTTCTCCTACTTACTGGTGTTAATTTTCTACTCATTTTTTTGATGAGTAAATTAGTGGGTAAGTGTGTAACTTGAAAGTGGGTCTGAGATGATAATTCTGCTTAGGAAGCAGGACCTTTTTCTTCCTTCCTTTAATCCTTATCTTTACCTTTTGATCTTTGTGTATATTAAATTAAGTTGAAACCAGCAGATGGTATAATGGTTACGTTGCTGGACTCCCACATGGCCAACCGTGGTTTGAGTCCTGGACCTAGTGGCTTGAAAATCACACTAGGCGAATGCACGTGCATGCCCAAAATCCTGAGAGGAGAATGATGGAGAAGTGATTTCAGCATGCCATCCCTACTGGGAGGTGATTTCTCTCTTTCTGTCTATCACTCTGTCTGTCTCTGTCTTTCCTGTGAGCACACATGCCCTATAGCAAAAATCTCTCTTAAAAAAATAAATAAAAATTAAATCTATACCTATCCAAGCTTCCACTATTCTCATTTGGCCCACTCATGCTTCAGATTATTCTGCTTCTTTCTTTTCTTTTTTTTTTTAAATGCTACTACCAAAGTTTCTTTCTCACGCCCTATCCAGTTAGTTTATCATACTGTGCTTTTAGGGGGAAAACCAATAGTAAATGTGATCAATTAAGCATGTCAGGTGGGAGCTGTTTCTATAGTTCCCATGCATTAGATGCATTAGTCTAACCCTTTGGTAGATTTGCATTTCTACAAACTACTTGCAATTTTAATATGATATTTTCATCCAGATATTCTTAGAGTTTGGTTAACAGACTCCTAGTGATCCTCAAGACTTTTCAGGGGGTCAATGAGGTTATAGCTATTTTATACTACTACTAAGATGCTATTTTCTTTTTAAATTCTTTTGCCGTTTGTAGTGATGGCACAAGAGCAATGATGATTAAAATTGCTGGTGCCTTAAGATGAGACAAGGCAGTAGCAATAAACAGTACTAGTAATCATCATATCCACTAATATGTACTCACAGCTTTTTTTAAAAAGTCACTTTCAATTAAGACTATCTTTAATGAAGCAGTAAAAATTAATTGTATTACATCTCAATCCCAAGTATATATCCTTTTAATATTCTGTGTGACAAAACAAAAAATAAGCATAAAGAACTTCTGTTTCATACTGAAGTAAGATGTGTGATTGCTTAAATGCCGAGCTGAGATAGCAGGTTTTTTTGTTTGTTTGTTTGGTTTGTTTTTTAGGGAGTATTACTTTTGCTTGACAGAGCAATTGAGAGACAAACCATGCTTATTCAGATTTACAAATTTGGCAGATATTTTCTCAAAAATGAATAAAGTAAGCCTGTCACCTCAGGGAAAACAACTGGCAATGTTTGTCACCAATAATAAAATAGGACCATTTAGACAAAAATTAGATTTAAAAAAATGTATACGCTATTGTGAGCTTGACTTTTCTGATGAGATCAGTGTTGATACTAACAAATATGATTTTTTTAATATTGGAATTTATAATAAGATGTATATGTATTTACAAACACACACATGAATATTTAGCCTTTGTCCCTTTCCTGGTACATAGCTCCTAAAATTGGTAAGATGTATGGAGTGATCAGTGTATTTTTTATTTTTTTGTTAATGAGATGGTTGGTGGCTGGGGACATCTAGATAGCTTCCAGATGGGGGCCTGGTCACCTGAAAAAGTAAGGCATGACTCAAGGATTGGGACTTTCAGTCCCACATTTGACCTCCAGGAAGGGGAGAGAAGCTAAAGGCAATTTAGTAAATGTTCAGTGGCTTAATCAATTATGCCGGTGTGATGAAGGCTCCATAAAATCCCCAAAGAACTGGATTCCGGGAGCTTCCAGATTGCCAAACACACGGAGGTTCCTAGAGGATGGTGCACTCAGAGAAGACATGGAAGCTCTGAGCCCTTTGTTCCAGACCTCTTTGAATCTCCTCCATCTGACTGTTTATCTGAATCTTTTGTAATTATCTTTATGATAAACAAATCCATAAGGAAGTATTTCCCTGAGTTACATGAGCTACTCTAGCAAATTAAAAGAACCTGAGGTCATGAGAACTCCTAGTTATAGTCCATCAGTCAAAAGTGTAGTTGACACCCTGGACTTGCAATTGGCATCTGAAGTGAGGGAGGTGGGCGGTGTTGGGGACTGGGCCTTTCATGGCGAGGAGCTGACACTGCCTCCAGGTCGATAGTGTCAGAACTGAGTTAAATTATAGGGTATCCAGGTGATGTCTGTTGGAGAATTGCGTGGGATATGGGAAATACCTTTCTATATACATCTGATGTCAGGAAGGTTGAGTGACTGAGAGTAGGATGACAAAAATATTTTCCCCTTTACATTTGTGTAATGAAATGTATCCACATTTGAAAGATCAGCATAAATCAATGGATACATTTTTTCAAATCACCCTTGTACAATGTTGCAAATTTAATGTGTTGTTAAAAATTCATTCCAATTTTAAGAAAGACTAATGAGTTTTAATATGATAGAGTAAAATGGTTTATAAATATGGGTTTATTTAGTATTACAACTAACCCTTAAGAAACTCCCATTTGTTGAGTTTCATTGTATTATCAAATAATGGCCACGATTATGTGAAAAGACTATGAAAATAGACCTCTCTTCTAGGGATATATCTGTGATAAACTGAATTTTTCATACACTTAAACCCAAACAATATATTAGAGTAGATTGAATTCAGAAGTATATATGAGACTGTATTTTATTAAGCCAAAGTTTTTTTTTTGTTTGTTTGTTTTGTTTTGTTTTGTTTTTGTAGACCAGTCTTATTTTTCTCACATTTTTATTTTTGGTTTTGAAAAATACAGGTTTTTTTTTTCCCTAAGAAAATATTGTTTATATGAGCATGTTAATATGTCATTCTGTTAAATCAGTTCTTCAGAATGAATTAATGCATAATATGTATGTCTCTGTCTTCATATGTAATATACTATCTGCATAAAACCCACATACACACCATCTCTTTGGGGTCTCAATAATTTTTACGCATGTAGAATGTTCCTGAGACCAAAACATTTAAGAAGCACTGCTTTTACTCAGACAGATGTTTCCTCAGTGAGAGCTACAGAGCTGATAGCTAGAGGAGTGGGGGGAGTCACGGCTATTTTGGGTTTTTAGTTTTGCACTCCCTGCACCACAGAAACCCAGCCTTTTCCAAGACTGCTTCAGCTTAGTACCACTTCTAATAACCATGACATTATGTCTTATAATTAATGGAATAAGTTAAGCAGGGAGGATAGACTAGAGTGTAATAGAATTTCTCCCTCTGGTCACATTTTCTACCATTTAATGACCATGTCTAATATTTACTTAGCAATTTGTTCTCCAAAATATATAATGCATTTAATTTTCTTTAACAATCTTTTATTGCATTGCGATCATCATTGTACAAAGGAAGCAAAAATGTTGTGATTATTTCAAAATGCTTTAGCCACAAGTTGATGGAGCCACATATAATAAACAAAGAAACATAGCCTAGGAGAAAGAATGTGTTCTAGCTCTGCCAGTAACCAGCCTTGTTTCTGTTTTAGGCACATTTAAATAAACTGCCCTGTTTCCTCCTCTACTAAATGGATCATATCAGAGGACCTCAAAAAATTTGTGGAAATATTCATTAAAGTATGAATTTATTTTGATACAGATAGTTTTTGAAATCCCTGCATAGTTTTTTTTCATAATACATATTTTTCATGAACTTTTTGAAGGCCCATTGCATATTACCTCCATTATCAAGTGATTGTGAGTACTTAGCTAGAGAATATAAAGTACCTAGAGCCTAAAAGGTGCTCAATAAGTAGTAGCTAATGTTATCTGTGATCAACTCATACTTATTACTAGAAATCAGTTCTTTTTTTTTTTTTTTTTAGGACTTTCTTTGTCAGTCTTGAAAAGGATAATTATCATGGTTTTGCTGATAACAAGACTCCAGTACCCTTCTTAAATATTAAAAACATGTGGGAAGAGTCATTCTGGTTTTCTTAAAATCAATAAGTTAAATGGGGAGGCAATAGATAGGAAGACTGTGATGAACATGTTTTGTGATATCGTCATGTCATATAGGTGAGTTGCTGAAGAGGCTAGAAGAAAAGGAAGCTCTGATAAGCCAACTTTCCAGGGAAAGGGGCAACTTTACTCGACAGATTGAAGAACTGAGAGGGCAGCTAGAAGAGGAGTTCAAGGTAATTTATCTGCTATTTCTCACCAATAATTTGACCATGTGTTTAAAATAATAATAATAAAATTGGGGCCAGCATGTGGCATAGTAACCACTGGATTCCCATGTGGCCAACTGTGGTTTGAGTCCCAGACCTGGTAGCTTTTGTTGTTTGTTTGTTTGTTTGTTTGTTTTGTGTGTGTGTGTTTAAATATCCAAATAAAATTTACTGCAACTTGTATAGAATTAAATTTATGCTACAAGACATGTTGCATAGGAAACTATTCAAAGCCCCTGAGAAAAAGATCCATGTTTTTTAAGGTGCAAGTAGTTTTGTTTGCTTCTTTGGAGAAAAGGTGAGAGACCTCTGGGAGAAATGACAGGGTTGAGAAGTAGAATTTAAGGTTAGTTTGTGTGATGATTGCCAATCAGATCCTGATTTCTGCAGCATAAAATATCTGTTATTTTGTTGTGGTTTTGTCTGCCAGACCTGGTAGCTTTAAATTCACACTGGGCACTTGTGCTTGCATGCCTGAAGTTCTGAGAGAAGAATGGAGGAGAGGGCATTACAAAATGGTCATCCTCCCTGGAGGTTGATTTCTTGCTTTTTGTTTCTCTGTATATCAGGCAAGCATATGTGCCCTATAGCAAAAACCTCTTTTAAAAAATAGTATTTGGTAGGTAACCCTAAATATCTTTTAAAAAGAAGGGAAAATGCCCTAGAAATTATAAAGAGAGAAACCATGTTAGCTCTTATATCTGTAGGGAAGAACCTTGATGACTGAAGAATCTTCCTTAGTGATTCAAATTGCTTCTATACTTTGTCAGATTTAGAACAAACTATGTGTGTCCAGTTTTGATTCTTACTTGAACAGAAGGTCAGCAAGTTTCTTTGTGGATACTGATCCTGAACTGCTCCCTAAGAAGTAGAATTAAATAGAAGACTAGAGTGAAATAAATGGGGTTGGGTTAGCTCAATATTGCTTTTAAGTTGTCAATAAGTTACATAACTTAGTCATTTCTTCCTATGAGAATATGTAATGTTTCTAGAAGGTGACCCCAATGAAAGTGATTCTTTATGGTGAAAGCATAGTGACTAACATGAGAAATAAATTCTTTGAGTCCTGGTACTTAAAGCTAATTCTTAGTTCATATTCAAGGTATCTTGTTGCTAAGACCCCAAAATATCTCATTTGTACATGACCTTACTATGAAGGCATAGACTCTGAAGGTGGAGGTAGCTTAGTCTTTGTTTAAAGTATTGTACCATTTCATTTCCTTAACTCTCCATATTTTAGATATTACATACAAATTTTTAAATTTATTTTTTTATTTTGTTTTTTTTTTTTTTTTTTTTTTTTTTTTTTTTGCTATAGGGCGCGCACCAGAAAGACAGAGAGAGACAGAGACAGAAAGTGAGAAATCACCCCCCAGACGGGATGGCCACACTGCAGTCCTTTCTCCTCCATTCTCCTTTCGGGATCTTGGGTATGAACGCGCATGCACCCAGCATGAGTTTAAGCCACCAGGTCTGAGACTCGAACCATAATCAACTATGTGGGAGTCAAGCAACATAGCCATTACTCCAACTGCTGATTCCCAAATTTTAAAATTTCTACTGCTGTGCGTGCATTAGACATTGTAGCAGATACTTTTCTCATGTTATCTTTTTAAATTTAAAGTTTATTTTATTTTTTTCATGAGAGAGAGAGAGTGTGATAGAAAGTGTGAGAGAGACATGTACCCCTAGCAGGGTATCATCAGACCACAGTACCCTTATCCCAGTCCTCAAGCTAGTCAGGATCTTGGGCAAGTACCCACCAGGCATACTGCAGGTCTTCTCAGGACAAGAACCTGTGGTAGACATGTGGCTTCCAGCACTCAAAACAGTATGATGCTGTCTGCACCACTGCAGCTGGGCCTCTTGTGTTACCTTAATCTTTATGCCAGTCAGATAGAGAAGGTAGAATGGTGCCTTTAGACATGAAGAAACCAAGATTCTGAGAAGACAAATAACTTGTCCGAGGTCATACTAGTAATATACTGTGAAGGAATCTAAGCAGATAGTGAACTGACTTGATTTATGTTTTAGGAGACCTCTCTGGCCGCCTTTCTAGTGATTTCCAATTGGTCTACAAGGTCCAACTGGTCTGGCTCCAGCCTCCTTCTGTTACCTAACCTTGTGCATCTGCTTTGCTTATTTACTCCTCTCCAGTTGTCCTGGCTCCCTTTCTGCTTCTAAAAGCAGCCACCACTATTCCTGCCTTAGGACTTTAATAACTGCTAATCCATTGCTTAATGCCCTTCCCTGATGTCTTTAGAGAATAATGAGAAGGAGCCAAACATTCTATCATACATCTGCTGGGAACCAGTAGATGCCATAATGGTTATGTCACTGGACTCCCACATAGTCCACCTCGGTTTGAGTACCAGACCTGGTGGCTTAAAACTCACACTGGGCACGTGTGCATATGTACCCAAAATCCCTAGAAGAGAAGGGATTGTGGTGTGGCCATTCCCCGTAGGGGGGTTATTTGCTTTCTGTCTCTCTGGCAAGTGCATGTGCCCTAAAGCATAAATCTCTATCTCAAAAAAAGAAAAAAATCATCATATCAGTCTGCTTTATTTATTTATTCAATCATTCAGTCATTTTACTGCTATTTTAAATTCCATTCTTTGTTTATATGTTTATTTCATGTAACCCCTTATTCCTTTTCATCTCCCTAGGACAGGTACTTTGTCTTCCTTGCTTTTATAATAATGTCTCGAACCAGGTGCTCAATAAATATATTCTACATAAAAGTTTTCTTTAAAAAAAGTCCTTTTAAAATAAAATTAGTTAAGAAAGGTTGCATCCTGAATTCAAGTTTATTTGATTCCAAAGTCTACAACATTCTCAGAGTCACCGGGCATTGTTTTACCTCATTTACTGCCCAAAGGTGTCTGGCTGAGGCCTTCATTAAGAAAACCTGTGCCCTCAGAGTTGCATGTGCCTAAGAAGAAGCTTTATACAAACTGTCATAAAGGATCCTTGAGGACCAGTTGAGTTCCTGTTCCTTCCCCTACACCAGGTCATCTCCTGGCATGATGCTGCTAGGTTAGCCAGACCAACATTGAAGTAATAGGAAAGGTTACCAAGTGCCAATCCTGTGGCCTGTGGCTAAGAGAGCCAGAGCCCACTTGACTGACCATGGTTTGAATCCTGGCCTCAGCACCTTGAAAAGAATATCAGGTGTGTATGTGAGAGAGAGAGAGACCCAAAACCCTGACAAAATTGAGAAATGGAGGAGAAGGGATTGTGTCATGACCATGAGAATAATAGCGATGGTCTCCAAAACCTCATGGTAGTTCACAAATCCTTGCTGGGGGCATGGCCACGATAAAACGGGGTAGAGGGGATGCTTTCTCCCTCTCTTCCTTTTTGTCTCTCTCTTCCTCTGTTATATGCATGCACCCTCTGGCAATTAAAAACAAAAGTTTCTTAAACTGAGCTCTGATATCTAATAAGTACAAGGACCCCTATGCTAGTATAAGTGGTTATCCAAATTTCAATTTATAGTAATTGAAATGAAATAAAACTAAAGATTTGCTTGCACCACACATGGTACTGTACGTTCCAAGTTTCGATTGTTCTAGAGCCACATCTGGCTAGTGTTCCCTTGGACCATGTACAAGTGGAATGTTTTTATCCATAGAGAAAGTGTTGGGCAGCATTGTTTTACAGTGATAAGGGCTTAGGTTTTCCAATGTTTCCATGTAAAATAAAAGATTTTATTTTCCTTGTCAATGGAACAAAAAGGCAAGACTAAATCTCAGTAGTTCTTTCTAGTTCAAACAAGATTAGAATATTGTACAGTTCTAAATATAAATCTTATTGCCTAAATGATGTGAATGTTCCCCTTGCTATCTTTGCATTTTTTTTCTTTCCAGAACCCCAGCCTGCCCATTGTTGAAGCCCACATAGTCGGGCTGACATTTCCCTAAATAGAACTCTTTCCTGTTTTAATGGCAGCAATTAGATAGTCTCTATCCTTTTTCTTCTTGTCCCAAATTCTCCTTGGTATTATCTTACTAGGTTCAGATTCAGCTTGAATTTGTGGCAGGTCGTAATTAACCTTATCTAAAAAAAAAAAGGAAAAAAAAATTATGTCACCCCCAAGCCTTTTGTTGTTAGTGGTGGTGGTCCCTTTAAAAAAAAAATGTGTGTCCCCCTTGCAGTCACAGAGTGCTCTGACCCATGCCCTGCAGTCAGCCAAGCGTGACTGTGACCTTCTACGAGAGCAATATGAGGAAGAACAGGAGTCCAAGGCCGAGCTGCACCGGGCACTAGCCAAAGTCAATGCTGAAATGGTGCAATGGAGACTGAAGTACGAAAACAGTGTCATCCAGACAGCTGAAGACATGGAGGATGCCAAGTGAGTAGGACAAGGCTCTCCCTCATGTGGGCTGGTCACACAGAAGGGTGTGAAAATAATGACTATGGTCTCCAAAACCTTGTGGTGTGTAGTTCACAAATCTTTGCTGGGGGCATAGCAAGCCCCAAACCAAAGCAAAAACAGCAAAGAACACATGCTCTAGAAGGCCTAAGAAAAATAAAAATTACAACATGTGGAAGAGACTGTAAACAAGTTCTGGGGAGAGAAAGAATCTTTCTAGGGGACAATGAATGTCTTCATAAAAAAATGTGACTTTGAGCTATGATTTGAAAATGGGTTATCACTTTCAAACCCGATATTTCATTTGAAACACTAAAATAATTGAGTCCATGTGCATATATGTCTCCATATATCAAAGTCATTGTGTCTCTGGTCTTAACTTGTGCACTACAAAGTGGTCTGTGAAGATGGACAGGGACGGCTGGAAACATGGTAGGATATGTCATCATGTCTTATGGGGCAAAGATTGCTTTGAAAAGAAATCATCCTCAGGCTACCCCTAAGGTTAAAATATAAATTTTATGGACAATGCCACATAATGATTTTAAAAGTTCTCTGCAGGAACTACAGCAGTTTTGGGCCTAGCTGAGTTGAGACTTGTTATCAGGGTATAGTATTGAAGCATTTTGCTTAGAGGTCGAGGGACTGTGTCGTAGAAAGAGTTTCAAACTAACCCCAGCTTATAATCATTAAAGGCTTACTCAAAAGAATGTGTCCCTGGCTTGGTAGCTTGGCAAAAATCCAGGGCAGATCAATACATTTCTCTTTAGCTTCAACCAGGAATAATGTTTTTCAGTTCTTCACCTAAATCTTTGAGAGGCATTGCTGAGTGGTTGCTGAACAGCCGCTGTGTTCTGTCCCAAAAGGAGAATCAAGTGATCCATCTCTGTGTCTACAGTAACTTAAAAAGGGCTTTGGGATGACAAATACTAAAAATACCTGCAATAGGTGTTTTAGAAAAACTCTGGACCACAGAAAAGTGGGACTTGAGTTGAAATGCCTGCTCATATACAAATATGACTTTTGCTTCTGAAGTAAGATTTTTCTTTTTCCTTCTAATGATTGAAGAATTCCCATGAAAGTGCCTACCTGTTATTCTCTTTGATGCCTTTTTGGGGGAAGCAGAAGAAAGAGAACTAATACAGACTATTATAAGGCCACATAGATTTATTGGAACTAGTTCTGTAGTATGTGACAACTTGAAAAAAAAGGGGGGGGGCAAACATGATACTATTTGAAACCCTTCTTGTTTTAAAATTAGTCAAACATCAACTACATAAAACTTTGTGTTTATCATACTTTCCCCCTAAATCACATCCCGGAGGTAGGAGACATACACCCACACAGCCACATGCACATGCACACACACAAGCACACAAATCTAAGTTCCTTTTTTTCCCCAGTGAGAAGGTTGAAGATCTGCCTGCTTTGGTTTCCAGGCTGGGATTTATCTAATAAGTTAGTTTAATACAATCACATACACCTGAGAACCATTTAATTGCTTCTAGGTTCTAAATTCTCCAAGAATAGGATTCAGTTTCTTTCCTTCCTTTTTTCTTAGATTTTTTGCTATAGGGCACATGCACTCACTGGAGAGACAGAGACAGATAGAAAGTGAGAAATCACCCCCTAAGGGAGATGGCCTTGCCACAATCCCTTCTCCTCCATTCACCTCTTGGGATTTTGGGGCGTGTATGCACATACACCCAGTGTGAATCTCAAGCAGCCAGGTCTGGGACTCAAACTGCAGTCAGCCACGTGGAAGTCCAGTAATATAATCATTCCACCATCTGCTCATCTCAGGATTTGGTTTCTTAATCTCCAACATCTCTCTATATTCTACAGGCAACTAAGTTGTGGAATAAAATCGTAGTTGGTTTTAAATGTAGAACAAAATTATCAGTAAGAGGAATTTGTCCAGGTTGCCCCAGACTTTCCCAATTTTAGCACTGAAAGACCCCTGCCCTGGTGACCCTGCCCCAGGCAAACCAGCTTAGTTGGTCACCCAGAGTAAAACTCTTATTTCTGGTACCAATTTTTAAAGTAGTAAAATACATATAATTATGTTATATGTATAAAATATGTTAAGCCAGGTAGAGCATCAGAATTTCCTCCTAATATTTAAAAATAAAACAAAGAAGTGAAGTGACTGTGGTTAAAAGCCAGTGAAGAAAGAGTTGAGAAAGCCCAGATTAGGGAGGACACTGGGCACAGGTGGTTTTGCCTAAACCCACCAAGAGGGGCCTGTTATCACATTACTCTGTAGGGTTAGTCGTGTGGTCCATGTTAGCTCCTGTGTCCTTTTCTTGTTTAATAACAGTAGCTTGGAAAAACTTTGGTACATATGTTAGGTTGTTGGAAAAGTCATGATGAGTTTTTTTTTATGCAAATATGTGTCATGACTTTTCTGACAACCCAATAGTACCTTGCATCTATTGATAATGAATGAGTAAAACTGAAACTGCCAGCATCCCTGTGGAGACATAAGTAAGAGAACACATTCCATCCATTAGCATTCCTAAGCATTCTCACTATCAATATGGTGGGGGAGAGAACCCTTTAATAAGCCAGTCCATATCAGAGCATGTTGGAAGAAGAACAGATGGGGGATGAAATACCCTGAAGAGCAGTAGAGCCTGTTAAGTGAGCATGAGGGGATGGATTTGGGCATATAATTTCAGGGAGAGGAGCTGAGGTGGCAAAGCAATTCAGAGTGAGAAGAAAAGAGAATTGGTGCATGTTTAGGAGCCACATGCTAGTGGGAGAGAGAGAGTAAGCAGGAGAGAGCAAGAGTTTGTTCCTTGGGAAGAACACAGCTCAGGAGCTCTTTAGTGACTAAGTGTGCCTGAGGATTTTATGGTACTCACCTCCTGCTGGGACGAATAGTTTAATATTCTTATTTCTCTCCTTTCTAATGAAATACAACAAAATCAGTGTTATTAAAGGTTTAAATTAAGCAAATATTTATGGAAATTCAAACAGATCCTGGGTTTCTAGTCCAGGCTGGTAAAGGGGAGGGGGTGGGGGATAAAGACCATGTGCTCCCAGGAGCCGGAGGAAAGTGATCAATAGACGTCTGGGTCCTACAGGGACAAGGATATAAGCTCCTTTTACTTGGTGCTGTCAAGCCAGCCTCCTGGGCTATCCTATTTTGTACTCAAGCAGTCTTTAGGCCAGGACACACCTTGATGAACTCTCTGCAGTTGTTGCTTCACTTGCCCTTTGGGTCTTCCTTTCCCAGGAAGAAGCTGACGATTAGGCTGCAGGAAGCTGCAGAAGCCATGGGGGTGGCCAATAGCAGAAATGCCTCCCTGGAGAGGACCAGGCACCAACTGCAGCTGGAGCTTGGGGATGCCCTGTCAGACCTCGGGAGGGCTCGATCCATGGCAGCCAGCCTGCACCAGAGGCAGCAGCACTCTGACCAGGCCCTGGCCGACTGGAAGCAGAAGTACGAGGAGTCCCAAGAATTACTAGATGCCTCTCAGAAGGAGGCCCGGGCTCTCAGCACTGAGCTCCTCAAGCTCAAACACGCCTATGAGGAGAGCTCTATGAGCCAGGAGATGCTCAGGAAGGAGAACAAGAACCTCCAAGGTACTCTGAGTGGGGCTTGGGGCCACAGCAGGAGCAACAAGTTCCGGGAGAGCTGGGCACAGGGCAAGGCTGTCTCTGATGGGAAGTAGGCCTCAGCATTATCGTGTTTCCATTTATGGTTTAACTTTTCAAAAAATTTTTTAAGAGTTATTTTTGCTACAGTGTGTTTACACTCATTGGAGAGACAGACACGGAGAGACAGACACATAGAGACAAAGCAAGAAATCACCTCCCAGGGGAAATGGCCACACCACAATCCCTTCTCCTCCATTCTCCTCTTGGGATTTTGGGCACACACACGTGCCTGGTATGAGTTTCAAGTCTCCAGATCTGGGACTCTAACCATGGTTGGCCATGTGGGAGTGCAGTGACATAACCATTATGGCACGTGCTGGTCCCTAACTTCTCAATTTTGAATATTGCTTTTTTTTTTTTTTAACTACAGGTATTCTTTGTGTTAAATTAATTCTAAAAGTAAGACTAGTTTCTGACTGTTAGCTCTAGTTTCACTCTGTAAAGAAAGCCACTGTTAAGAATTTCTTGCTCTCCATAGCTAACGACATTTTCCGTTTATGTATTTATGCATTTTTCACCTAAATTACATAGTGTTCTACACATTTTTTTTCATTTATAAATCGATTTTCTGGTTTAGCACACATATCTATAGCTCATACCGTATACTGGGCATGGTTTTATATACAACTAATTGTTTAATTCTCAGAACCATCTTAGTGCTGGTTTCCTCACCTGTAAAATTGAGATTATATTGGTCAGAGGGTTAAGTAACTTGTCTGAATTCACAGTCAGTAAGCAGCAGGTCTGGGATTTGAGCTCAGTCAGTTAGACTACGGAGCTCTGCTCCCCTTGCATGTACCTTATGGTTCTTTACACGTGCAGACATGGAGACCCACACGTCCTTTTCAGTAGCTACACAGTTTTCATAATAGGGATGACTGTCACTTATTTAATTTAACCTTATTCATTTTAGGTCAAATTATTCGCGCATAAGTAATCCTATATTATATATCCCTATACGTGTGTGCACGTGTAAAAACATTTCAATAAGATAGACCTCTGGAAATGAAATTGCTAATTTAATATAATAACTTTTTAAGTTTTGGTATACTTTCCACCAGCCTTTCAAAGAGACTGCCAACTTATACCAGCACCAAGAATAATGAGTATGAAAACTCTGAGAGGCCCTGGAAGCAAAATTAGTCACTATTGGAAGCACAAATGAACTTGCATTCTCTGTTGACCTATTATAATCCAAGACTAGGTCATTGGCTGAGCATGTGAGAGTTCCAGAACAGTGGTTAGAAAACTTTAGATGTGGGGCCAGCTGATGGCATAGTGGTTACATTGCTGGACTGCCACACTGCTGACTGTGGATTAAGTCCTGGACCTGATGGCTTCAAAATCACACTGGGTGTGTGTGCATGCATGCCCAAGATCCCAGGAAGAGAATGGAGGAGAAGTGTGTGTGTGTGTGTGTGTGTGGGGGGAATGCCTTGCTTTCCCTCTCACTATTTCTGTCTCTCTCTTTCTCCAGTGAGTACATGCACTCTAAGGCAAAAACCTCTTAAAAACAAAACAAAAACAAACAAACAAACAAAACCTTTAGATGTATCCAGACCACTTGGAAGGTTTGCCAGAATGACTGAGGTCTACCCCGAGAGTTTCTGATTTAGTAGGTCTGGTAAGGGGTCTGAGATTTTATATTTAGAACAAGTTTCTAGGTGAGGCCAATGCCGCTGGTCTGAGGACTACACTTGGTCTGGGTTAGGCATGTAGCTTGAGGGAGGTTTTTCCAAAGCTATGTAGATGATGCCCTACATTTTCTCTTGAGATCTCCCCTCCTAGAAAAGGCTATCAGAGAAGAATTTATTTTTTCAATGAGAATTTTCATCTGACATATTTTTATAACTTGTTAAAATTTTCCTTGTATCACATCAGAGTGTGAAATCTCAGAAACAGAAGGAGAGGTAAGCTCTTGAGCTCCCTGGGTAATGGGTAATTCCCAGAGCTGCTTGGCCCCATATCATGAGCCTTAGATACAAGAAGCTTCCCCATGAGAAGCAGACCAATGATAACACTATCAGGAAGCAGAGGTTGTGACTTCTGGGTGCCTTACTCTCAAAGGTTTGTGTCCATGAGAAGTTAGTCAAAATCCCTTACTTGCTTGAACTAAAGCTGCTGTCTTTTTTGAACCTCTTCTGAGTTTCTGGCCTTTGTAGGGTCATGTGTTGGCTGCTAGCAGACTATAACTCAGTTTATACTTCAAATTCCTGTCCCAGTGTGAGTGGAGACTGATACGATAGAAGCCTCTAGTGTTGATAGCTAAGCATATACAACAGACGTGTAGGATTCCAGGTCTGTCTTGGAATACCTCCTGGTAGGATGTGGACGGTCCTGACAGATAGGATACCACGTAAAGTTGTGCAGACTGTCCAATGCACGGTCCTCTAAGAAGAACCATTCTACCAACTGCCATAGACAATTTTCTGCAGATTTGCAAAAAAAATATATCAAAGGAGGGATGCCTTTTTTCTTCTTTTCTTTCTTTTGAGAGACTTTTTGCTAGAGGCCATATGTGTTCACCAGAGAGATAGAAAGAGACATAGAGTCAGAAAGTGAGAAATTACCCCACAAGGAGGATGGCCATGCTGCAGTCTCTTCTCCTCCATTCTCCTCTTGGGATCTTGAGCATGCACCCACATGCACCTGGTGTGAGTTTCAAGCTACCGGGTCTGGGACTCAAACCATGGTCAGCCACTTGAAAGTCCAGTATCTTAACCATTGTGCCATCTGCTGGGCCCAAGATGCCTTTTTCTAATTCTAATGGGATCCCATATAGGCTAGTGGTGGCCCTTTTAAGTTACCAAAGGCAGCATGACTACGGTCCCAGGTGATCTGTAGGAATAGTCTGCTGTGCTTGGTATCATGGGTCCGAGACTGAACCCTGTCACAAACCTTGCTGTTCTCCCCTTCCTCTCCAGAAGAGACTTCAAATCTGGCAAACCAAGTTAGAGAACGAACCAAGAAGTTAAGTGAAATGGAAAAGGTCAAGAAACTGATTGAACAAGAAAAGACTGATGTCCAAGTGACACTGGAAGAAGCAGAGGTATTACCTCCAGGGAGAAAAGGTTTTTGTTGTTGTTGTTGTTGTTGTTGTTTGCTATAGGGCGCATGCACTCACCAGAAAGACAGAGAGAAACAGAGAGACAGAAAGTGAGAAATCACCCCTCCCAGGGGGATGGCCACACCACAATCCTTTCTCCGCCATTCTCCTCTCGGGATCTTGGGCACACACGCACACATGCCCAGTGTGAGTCTAACCCACTAGGTCCGTGACTCAAATCGCGGTCAGCTACATGGGAGTTCAGTGACATAGCTATTACGCTAACTGCTGGTCCAGAGAAAAGGTTTTTATTACTGTGACAAAATGGAAGATCTGCATTCTGGTAATGACAACAGCATGGAACAATGCCACTTATTCAAGTGTTTACTATTAATACATGCTGGGCACCATGCCAGTGCTTGATTGATATGCATTATATGAAGTCATCACCCTAGCAAACTGTTATTCCCATTTTACTGCAGAAGATATTGAGGTTCAGGGAGCAGGATAAACTATAGTGAATGTGAATCTCCTGGCTGTAATGAAAAGAGGAACCATCTCTGTCTTGTTCATTAATTTATCCCTGGTGCCTAGACCTTCCCTACTCAAAAGGTAGCTCATGGGCCTGCTGTGTGGACATCACTCAGGAGCTTATTAGAAACTCAGAATTTACATCACTAGAGATCTTTACAAAGTAGTTTTTCCCAGCAGGATTGCCGTGCATATCAGTCAGGTCATAGATATTACCGTATACATTATCATCAACGAGTAGATTTTCATCCTTGTATCTGTGAACATTTTTTTCCCTGTGGCCCTCCTCTGGTCTCTGGTATCTAAAGTTGCCCTCCCTGCTATTATACTTCCCAATCTTTCTGTTTCTGCCATAAAGTACAGACATTCGGTATACATTGAGTGTTTAAAAATGTTAAAAAAAGAAAAAGAAAATTTAAAAAAAAAGAAAAATTATTTGAAGGCAAAAACATAAACCAAAAAAAGGGGGAAACTCAGAATCTCAGCTCTGCCCAGCTCTGCTGAAGCAGAATCTGCATTTTAACAGGATCCCCCAGGCGTTCACATGCATGCTACCATTTGAGAGGCACTGGCTCAGGACAGTGCCTAGCATGTAGTAGAGGCTCAGTAAATATTTGTCAAATGTTGAATGAATAAGTATCCTTATAGCTGCCCATTCTTCAAACAAAGTCAGTCAAAAACAAATAAACAAAACCAAAACACCTTTTGTGTTTCCCCTCTAAAAATCTCTTGGTAGTTTTCAAAATGAGATTCAGGGACCAGCAATTAGCGTAATAGTTATGTTGCTGGATTCCCATGTAGTCGACCGCAGTTTGAGTCCTGGACCCGGTGGCTTAAACTTATGCCAAGCGCATGTGCATGTATGTCCAAGATCCTGAAAGTAGAATGGAGGAAAAGGGATTGTGGCGTGGCCATCCCCCGGAAGGGTGATTTCTTGCTTTCTATCTCTGTCTCTCTCTTTCTGGTGAGCACATGCACCCTATAGCAAAAAAGAAAAAAAAAAAAAAAGAGAGAGATTCAAAGTGATGTTCTCCAACATTTGTTTCTGAAAAACTCTTTTTTTGAGAGAGAGCGATTTTTTCCTATAGGGCACATGTGCTTGCCAGAGAGAGACAGAGGGACAGAAAGTGAGAAATCACCACCTAGGAGGATGGCCACACTGCAATCCCTTCTCCCCCATTCTCCTCTCGAGATCTTGGGCATGCATACACATGCACCCTGGCCCAGGGACTCGAACTGCAGTTGACTTCATGGGAGTTCAGTGACATAGTCATTATGCCAACTGCTGGCTCCATGAAAAGCTCATCTTTGTGCAAATTGTTTGACAGGAGTATTTTCCATGTAGAGATTAAAAGTTCGGAAAACGTCTCTGGCTTTATCCCTTGGTGTACACTAGAACTGAAAAGACCTCTAAGAAAACCTTTTGCCAAAGAACAGGGTGAACTAAAAAGGGAGTTATCTTGGCATGGTTGGAGGGTGGATAATAAGCCTCTTCTCACAGCTGAATTTCATCTTCCTTAAGGAACCTTCTAATAAGCACCTGGGCACATTGAAGTGTGGCCCTTACCTACTCACCCATCACTAGAGAAAATGATTTTTGAACAGTGTGGCAGTCAGTTTTAGACAGGGACCTTTTGGAAGGTATGGTGATGGAAAATTAGAACCCCAGAGGACTGTGTGCTGAGCATGATCTGTTATAACCTCACCATTACAATTCAGTAAGAACCCTGCCGGCCAGATGTGTCCGACTTACCCTGTATGTAGAGTTGTCAAGTAAACAGCTCTTGACAGAGCTCGTGGTCTCCTGTGCATAAATGTGTCCAGAGGCTTCTACATTTTCTAGAAAATTCTTTCAGTTGGCGAGATCCTCCAGCAAGGATGCCCTTGGACAGCTGGTGAACTGTTTATTCACTTGGTTCATTCGGTCTTCTGGCTAGGTGCCTCTGGAAACCATGTCTTATCCAAAAGAAATAACTTTCATGGTAAAAATTTTAAAAACTATGACAAGTTAATGAGAAATATGACTGGCAGTGGTAATTTTTGTCCTGTATAACATACAGGTAACTTTGTATATTACATTGACCAGCACCCACGTGAAAGATGAGAATGATTTTTAGGCCATAGCACTCATACCATCTAGTACCACTAGATGGCACTATGTTCTATTCGCAGTTTCTCAAGTTCTACTTTCAGCCACATCCATAAATACTTCATCAACTTGGGCATGTATTTGTAACATTGGGTTATTTATTTTGCTGGGTGCACCTTTATGAGAAATTTCATCAGATTTTTTTTTTAACACCATAAAACTGAAATTATACCAGGTCACCTTCTCTAAAGATGCACTTTCTCAGTGCATTTTAGAGGGTGAGAGGTGACAGTTTTTCCCTGAAGGAATTGTACCATTCTCTCTGAGGAAATTGCTATCCAAGCATTGGTTTATTTTTTTTTATACTAAGGTGAGCAGCAAAAAAGACCTTATTAAAATTCCCCGACATCTCTTATTTTTATTTTTAAATTGCTGCTCAGTTTTACTTTTTACTTTTGGCGGTATATGCTAAGCTCTTCTCAATAAAGGCTGTAAGAAATCACTCCTGTCCTCTTGGACAGTTTGTGGTTAACTGACCAACAGATTGCATCCTCTGTGCCCTTATAGCAGCATTCTCCTCTGTGTGTGTGTGTGTGGGGGGGTGCGGTGGTGTGTGTGTGTTTCCTTTTCTATGTACAGTTCATCTTTGGAAGAAGCTTTAAAGATTTAGTCAAACCTACACTTTTGGGACCAGCAGTAGCGTAATGGCTTTGTTGCTGGACTCCCATGTAGTTGACCATGGTTCACATCCCAGACCCGGTGGCTTAAAACTCACGCTGGGTGCATGTGCATGTGTGCCCAAGATCCCAAGAGGAGAATGGAGGAGAAGGGATTGCGGCGTGGCCATCCCCCCTGGGGGGTGATTACTCGCTTTCTGTCTCTCTGTCTCTCTCTGTCTGTCTGGCGAGTGCACACGCCCTATAGCAAAAACCTCTAAAAAAAAAACCCTACACTTTTAAAATTGAATTGCCTTTGTAACATTTCTGGCAATAATTGCCTTGGCTATATTTAAATACTCGGAGGGGCAGGGGATCTCCCTATCTGTCAAAGCAACCCACTTGTAGGAGTAGTCGAACTAATTATAGTGATACCCACAGTGGCTCATGCTGTGTGCCGTGTGTTAAGTACCTTATAAGTTCCTTTTTTCTTCACATGACAATATTTGGGCACAATACTGTTGCTTGTTCTCTGAATGCATCCAACTTTTATACCTCTGTGATGTCCAGAATTAAATAAAAGATTCTGGGTAGCAGTCTCTCCTTCCTTGTTCTAGGTTTGGTACTCTTATGAATTCATTCCAAAGAAAGAATATGTTAGAAAAAGTCGAATAACAAATTAAAAGGTTTAAATATAGTCACAGATGAGATTGAAATTTTCTATTTTAAACAATGTTTTAGAATTCTAATTCTACAGCTACAGCTGAAAGACCCAAGAATGTCAAAGCTATAATAAGTGAAATGACAAATGAAAGTAGGCAGTTGTTTCTCATCCTGTTCCAGGCTTCAGGGACCCGATTTGAACCTAGATCTCTCCCAGCAACTCAAACAAGAATTACAGCAAGGACAAACATGCAGAGAACAGTGGACTTCAATTAGGACTTTTTATTTGTGTATTTCAGGGAGCTCTGGAACGTCATGAAAGCAAGATTCTTCGTTTCCAGCTTGAACTCTTCGAAGCTAAAGCAGAACTTGAAAGAAAGCTTTCAGAGAAGGATGAGGAAATTAAAGATATTAGGTATTTAAGATTATTTTGATGAGCACTGGTTACATATTTTGGAATCTTTGACTATGTAGAACTCATAACGTTTGGCTACTTTTATGAAACCTTTTGGAACATTACCAAAGACAAAGTTTCACTCTACACTAGAGTTTTCCTCAGAATCTTACTACTACTAGTATAATGGAATACCTATACATAATTACTGCCAATTTTTATGATTATGGTTTTCTTACATGTGAGCAGCTTTTACTCTCATACAAGACTCAAGATAACACACCAAACCCCCTACAAGTTAAAAATCATGAACATTATTACCTGTATGAGAGGAACTCAAAAAGTTTATGGAAAATCTAATTAAAATATAGTTTATTCTGGTGTAGAAAAATTTGAAACACACGCATAGTTTTGAAAAATATGCGGTTTCCATGAAGACTCCACATGTAAGGACTGTGTGTACTGTCTGGGTCTCTGTAACAAGTCTCTTGGTTGGCCATTCAACTGACTGACTGATAATACAAAACCATGCAGAAAAGAACTAAAAAGTCAGATGCTGCATATTAAAATTAATGTCAGATGTGAGTGAAGTTTTCACATCCCCCCTGCCTGTAGTGGAGCCATTTGTTTGGAGAAGGACATGAGCCGCAGACTAAGCTGCTTATTGAATTCTTGTTGAAGCAGCTGAGTCTTAATAGTCAGGAAACTGAATTAGACAGTTTCTGTGGGATCTTTTCTTTGCTTCATCATAACAAGCGGATGACTTTAGACATTCCACTTCTTAGCTTCCCAGTGAAGTGAGGGGATAAAAGCAGCCCCTACAGGACACAGAAGGTGGTGAGGAAGATCAGTAAGCTGATGGTGGCAAAGCGCTTCACACTCTCTAGATCAAAGGCACAATTATAAACACATGGAATTAATGATTATATCATCTATCTGATCTGTTCTCTTTAGTCAATGCCATATGTCAGCAAGGAAAATCATTTGAGTCTGAGGTTCGACTGGCAACTTACTTTCGATGTGTTTTTTAAACAATAAAAAAAAACCCAAAAAACCCTGTTAACATGTTCAGTTGAACTGGCCTCTTTCCTATAGCTCGTTTTCAGACCAAACTTCTCTGGGGGTCAATTTTTTAATGAGAATGTCAAGCCAAATTTGGTCCTCTGTGTGCTTTGAGTTATCTTAGCTCTCACTCACTGGCATTTTCCTCTGTAGAGCTGATTATGGTGAGGAATTCTGCTCTATTTAAGGGGCTCTAAGTCAGTGTCTAAAAGAATTTTTTTTGATAAAGGGCAAAAATATTGGGTCTTGATTTGTCCTACTTCCTTCCACAAGGAACAAAGCTTAACATTTTCTTGTGCAGTTAGGGAAAACATACACACACACACACACACACACACAGAGAGAGAGAGAGAGAGAGAGAGAGAGAGACTTCAGGTAACGTCAAAGCTGTGCCTATAAATAAACCCAGCTGAGGAAAAATGTGTTCTCAGTCTGTGTCTCGTCAGGTACATCTGAATGTCGTAGAGCAGTTCACCAATTATAATAATCTTAGTGCAAAGAAAGCTAGAGATTCAAACAGCTAGGGCTGGGAGAAGAAAGAATTGAAGACAAGGCATACGTTGTGAAGGGGCTGAAAAAAGGAAGGGCCATCTAAAAGCAGGGGGATGAGCCATCTGTAAGTTTTAGTTAATGACTCATAATGACTATTTTAGGTACATCCAGAAAGGAAAGATGAGCGCGTCTTACAGAAAAGCACAAATACCATCCAGACCCTTTCTGTTCTGTGTGAGTGAAGAGTATATCAAATGCCTTCATTTACTCTGATGGCTCAATCTGACTTTGATGCTAGGAGGGCGTCTTAAGGGAACTGATGAGTGTGCCAGGGAAAAGTGGGGGCAAGGTAGATGATTCCCAGCGGTCAAGGACAAGCCATGTAAGTTATAAGAAATCAAGAAAAATATTGCCTGAGGACAAGGTGAGGTTTCAGGTCCTGTGTCAACATAAGCCATTGAAAATTCCACAAAAACTAAAGAATCCTACCAAGATAAGACCCAGTAAGTTGAGGGGACAAGAAACCAGGAGACAGAGTCCTACTGGCAAAGGAAACCTTAACAGTCCAGTAAACCAGGAAACACTTACCTCATTCTCTACTGCTGACTGAGCTTTCTCTTCCATTCTGATGAGGAGTAATCCTGAATGAGCCCAGCCTGGGAGTTTGTTGGTGAAGAGAAGTATAAGAAGGTAGTATGTGTGTGATATGTTTCATTTGTCCAGCAAATATTTAAGTGCTTAATGTTGGCCAGACACAGTGCCTAATAGTTCAGTTAGGACTTCCTACACTTTTTGGATGATGAGGCTATATGATTTTTTTATTTCTACAAATGTCATAGTTGGCATAGCCAGAGGGAGGGAAAAGACCATGTAGTCACTGATGGAAGCAGAGGAAGGAGCATGGGTAGCTGGCTTATTTTCTCCACCCTAGACACAGGAAAGGATGACAGCTTGAAGGTCAGTGGTGGACATAATCGCTGTGGAAGTCAAGCCCTGCAGCAAGCCCAAAGCTGGGTTGAAAACAGGTAGGGCGGGTATATCCTGAATCTTCAGGACCAGACACTCCTCAGCTTACAATGAGGTTATGTCTCCATAGACCCACTGCAAGTTGAAAATGTCAGAAGCCTAAGGTGCATGAATACATCTACCCTCCCAAGCATCATAGCTTAGCCTAGCCTATCTTAACTGTGCTCTTTAGCCTTTTTTATTAAGAAAAATGAATACTTTCATTAGCCGACAGCTGGATAGAATCATCTCACCCAAAGCCTATTTTACAAATCAGTGTTGAAGATCTCGTGTACTTTATTGAATACTGTGCTGAAAGTGAAAAACAGAATGTACAGTTTCTACTGAATGCATATCACTCTTGCACCATCCGAAAGTTGAAGAATCCTAAATGGAATAATCCTAAATTGGGGCCCTTCTGTATATTTCTCTCCCAAAGACTTGAGGAAACGCTGAAATGTGTGAGTCATCTCACTGGCCCAGAGGCGCAGTGCACCTGTTTGGTATTCTCTTCAGCCACATCTAGAGAGGCAATTCTGGGACTGAGGCACCGAAGCACCTTACTGTATTATAACGTATTTGTTTGTTTTGTTCAATTCCAACAGAAGGGTTAGAAAAGCAGCCACAGACAGTAGGAAATCAAATGGGCATAGTGAGACCTGGTCCACCACCCATGGTTTGCCTACCCATGGTTTATGGCCTCGGGCATTTAGTGACGGCCCATCATTTCCTTCCATTGGGTCCACGCCTCTGAACTTAGTCACGTCAAACTTGACCACGTGGCCTTAACTTACAGGCACCATATGACTTTATTGTCTCAATGAGGCTCTGACAGAAAAACATGTTTAAATATCTTTCCATTTCTAAGTAAGATATTTTAGGGTGTTTTTGAAAAGTAGACTCTCAAATACAGACAAGATGTTTAGTTAGCAAATAAACTCATTAATATATTTTTGAAAGGTTTTTGCTATAGAGCATCTGTGCTCACCAGAGAGAGAGAGGAGAGAGAGAAAAGAGAGACAGAGTGGAAAAGTGAGAAACCAACTCCTAGGGAGATGGCCATGCTGCAATCCCTTTTCTTGCATCTCCTCTCAGGATTTTGGGCATGTACACACATGTGCCCAGTGTAGCTTTCAAACTCCAAGGTCCAGGACTTGAACAGCACACTGCACAACCAGCCATGTGAGATCTAGTGCTTTAAGTTCCATATCTCCGGTTGGCCCTCTCGTTAACTGTTTTAAAATGAAATCATATGTATTTGGATTAAGGAAAATCTCACATTTCTCTGATGTAAATAAGCACTATAGGAAGAGAAAAAATGATCTAGTGCATTTGGTTTCTTTTCTTAAATTGTATTTCACATTTTAGAGAGAAGAGAAAAAGGAACTTCTTACTATGTTGCCCTTGGTCCTGAGTGTTTCATTTTTCTCAAGAAACGTACTTGAGGGAGTTTTCATTTTAAAGATTTCTTGACTCTGCATGAAGTATGTTGATTGTTTAGCAGCCATTCTCCAGGCCTGCATTGTATCTGTGCCTCTTAAACCATCGCACTTTTTACTTGTCTGCAGGCACTCGTCAAGTTTCATAAACAACTGTGGGAACAGTACAGTTTGAGACATTTGGTGTGTCTGCTTAAGTAGAATATATTTCTGGGTAGAGGATTTTGACACCAAGCTAGGGATGCTTTAGTGTTCCTGTGTGAGGAAGTGAGCTATGGCAAAATGAGGGTTTCTGGTGAGAGACAGAGAAGTTCTCACAGCTGTTACAGATGCTGAGCGTGAGCGCCCCTAGGTTAGTAGTGCAGTAAGTTGGCCATAATGGAACACACAGACTGGGTTTGAGGAACAACAATCTATGATCTCACAGTTCTGGAAGCTGGAATCCAAGATTAAGGTGTTGACAGGCTTAGTTTCTCCTGAGGCCGGTCTTGGTGGCTTGCAGAAAGTCAGCTTCTACAGTGTTCTCACAGTCTTCTGTGCACGTGCATGTCTGAGTCTTCCTCTTCTCATGAGAATGTTAGTGCCATTGGATTAGAATCCCACTCTAATGGCCTCATTTAGATTTTTTTTCCCCCTCTTTAAAGGCTCTAACTCCAAATACGGTCACATTCTGAAGCCCTGGTTAGGGCTTCAACACATGAAGTTTTGGGGGATGCAGGAAACAGGGGAAGAGACAGGAGGAGACAGAAAAAGAGACAGGTTTGTTGGGAACTGAGCAAAAACCCAGGATCTAAAGAAAGGCATGAGGTACCAACCTCAGCTCTGTGGGCCAGGAAGTGGAGTTGGTGGAAGAGAGGTGCAAAGCCTGGGTTCTCAAACCAGAAAAAATTATTCCACATACATGTCCACAATTGCTTCTGAGATCTTTCTCACTAATGGG